TCTGAAGATATGATTTTTACTGCTATAAAGCTGTATACCATGTCTTTCCTGGTCACTGTTTGTAGCTTGGTTTATTTGATGGCAGGAATTTGTTCACCTAGCCAGTAAATGCTTGAAAGAAGTTGTTGAGATAGAAAATAATGTTTTATACCTTCAGCCAACCGTTTCATCAGTTAATAACAGGAAGCATAGATTTTAAGTTACTTGAATTTGGTCACTTTTAATGGTCAGCGTGCAACAGGTAGGGGTATCGTTGCAATAAGGTATCATTACGAGGATGCATTACGTTAGGAGGACGCATCAAGTATGTGTAGAGGCAGCACGGCTTTAAGATATTGTTGATGTTCATAGCATAGCATTATTATGATATTATTGAGAGAAAGTACCAAATAGAGGTTACATATGTATTTTGAGATATTGTTTAGAGGATGCATCAAATAGAGGCAATGTGGCATGTAGATATTGTTGGGAGGACATATCAAGCTAAGATTGCATTGAGTTACAGATATTTTGTTATAATCTTACACTTAAAATGGCCCTTTTAAAACTTACATTAATTGCAATTTTCATGGAGCCATAATTAAGTATGGGTACTATCTGGTTACATGTGTACAATGTGTGAGTTATATAATAGACCTGCTCCCATTGTCAGTAACAAGATCCTCACAGAGAGAGTTTTGTTTGCATTTTAAAGCCTCTTTGTCTGTTCAACAAGGCGACATATTCTTTCTGCTCTTTTTGTATAAATATATATTTGTGAAGCCCTTTGATCATAGACACAATACACATTGAAACCGGGAGTTTAAATGAAACAGAAAGAATATATTGCTCAGGGATTAATGTAATAGGGAAATCTAGTCCATAGTACGGATTATATAATAAATGTTATCACAATCAGAAATTTGTAAGAAACTGATTTTAGTGATAAGATGTGTTCTTTTTCAATTAATTTTTTTTGTAATAAATCATGTTTGTTAATTATATGTCATTGAAATTTGATGGAACTATTGTGGTGATATTGTATAGAAAAGATTGGATCCTGTACGGCCAGTTTAATCCTCTGACCTCAATATGTAACACAAGCTGATACTTGGGGTACGTTCTAGTATTATAGGCAGTCTGAGGAAGGGAAGAAACCAACGGGCTATATAGAAGGTCAATGTAAGCAGTAAAGCTGTAAAATTATATTCAGTATTTTCAATTTTGTAGTTTAGAAATAAGCTTGACAATGTTACAGCCACCTTGGGATATTTGTAGAGATAGTGTTAGTGGCACTAAGTTGTACAGATCTGTGCTCTGTTCATAATAATGCTGAACAAGAAAATTGTTCATCTCAATTTTATTTTCGGCCATTTCTCTATAGAACAATATGGTAAATTTAACAGGCGTCAAAATCTGTGACACATAGGCAGTTCATATACAATACAGGAAGGAATTCTTTACTCAGTGAGTTTTTTAAAAAGACTAGTTGGAAAATATTTGACGGCACAAAATTGTTTCAGTTTGCAGAACATGTATATATTGACATGGGTGTCTTCTAATCTGGAAATATTGTCTTTACATCTAACGGGACATGCTGTATACCTAAGTGATCGTACAAGTGATTTGTGCGTAACTTGGAAGGTGTCAATTCTAGTCGATCACATACATGTATCTGACCAATCAGTGACGGGCATCGATATAGGTCTATAGACCACAAGTACGTGTACTTCACTACAGTACATATGTACAGACATAATGACTACTGTATTGTTCGGGTTTAGAAGTGTTTTTGTTGTTTATCTATATAGACCATTTATATACAAAATCATTCTTATTAAACATGGGAAATATAATTTATAATTTGTATCTTATCGAGGAAAAAATTGATTCTCTGAAGTTGACACATGGTTCTAGTACAAAGTACCGCTAGTTCAGAATTGCTATTACTGCGAGGCAATAGACCAGGTGGTCATGTGTTTATTAATTCCCAGTAAAACATCTATAAATGCCTACATTGTACTATTGATAGGCTCTGCAATTTGATGCAAAATATTGAATAAAACATCAACTTTTATTAAATATAATGTTTCGGAAATGAGTGTTAGGGGCGTTTTATTCACCCCTGAAGTTTTATAATGCACTATACCATCCTTTAAACTGGAAGAGTTCAAATGTGTATATTTAAAGTATGAAATTAATAAATGAGCTTGGATAATTTCCATAGCCCACACATATGTTTTAGATAACATGTAGTCCTACTACACACTACCACATTTCAGGGTCGATGATATTCAGGAACGCTCCCTTAAAAGGCAAAACGGTTTTTCATTTTGCTCATCAAGTATTTATGTATTTACCAGGAAACTTTTTAAGCGGCTTTCCGCCTGATGATTTTATTGTTTTGTACCCTGACAAAGTTTTCCCTGACTCAGCAACTGGGATATTGGCTACAAACTATTTATTATGAGCAACAATTAATTAAACGTGTAGGTTTACTAATAATTTGCTGACTATACAATTTATGGCCCTAGATACATGTATATAGGTTTTGGTTAGGGCTTGTATTAATTAATTTCTACAGTTATTTGTTGTGTTTGTACCCAAACAAAGTTTTCCCTGACTCAGCAATTGGGATATTGGCTTCAAACTTTTTATGAGCAACTATTAATTAAATGTGTAGGTTTACTAATAATTTGCTGACTACACAATTTATGGACCTAGATATATAGGTTTCCGGTTAGGGCTGGTATCAATAAATAATTTCTACGTTTATTTGTTGTGTTTCACTGAGGCGTACTTGAAGTTCATTTTTTGTTCTACATGTACTACCTTTGTTCATGCCATGAAACGTGTCCTCAAATAAAAGTTCTTTCCTTCCTTAGAAAATATATTGGAGAAATTATTACGGGAAAATCAGGCCTTGCATGTGGCCTAGTGTTCTATTGTTTGAAAAGCCCATTAATTCTTTGGATGTTGGAAGACGTAAAACATCTACATTTGCATGTAGTAATTGAAAGATTGGCTTGGCATACTGATGACCAGGGCATGACAGGTGTATATGCAAAGGTACCCAAGCCATATAATGAGATTTAGGTGACAGCGATAGGGCTGGGAACATTTAACAGTGTTCAAATAAAACTTGAAGGGAAATAAAATAAGATAGCACAGACACCTATAAGGACAGTGATCACTTGTGAAAGAACCTAAGTTCAATATTTTACACCTGTATTCTTGGTTGTCTCCTATATTTTACCTGTATTCTTGGTTGTCTCCTATATTTTACCTGTATTCTTGATTGTCTCCTATATTTTACCTGTATACTTGGTTGTCTCATATATTTTACACCTGTATTCTTGGTTGTCTCCTATATTTTACCTGTATTCTTGGTTGTCTCCTATATTTTACCTGTATTCTTGATTGTCTCCTATATTTTACCTGTAAACTTGGTTGTCTCCTATATTTTACACCTGTATTCTTGATTGTCTCCTATATGTTACCTGTATTCTTGGTTGTCTCCTACAGAAGTGTCCCTACATAATTTCTCGTATTGATGCTCACATGTATATTAAAAGGCCTACAGCTGTGTTGTGAAACCAAGGATTACACACATATAATTCCAGTAAAACCTGTCATATAATAGGCTTTATTTAGCAACAAATTCTCTTCAAAATTTTTAAATCTCGGTAATAAGCTTGTATATTTTTGTTTTTTTTAATCTGCCATGTGAACGGTATTTGTAAATGTTGGTCGGGTCAGGATTCAGGTATGGAAGCAATAAATAGAGTTTTGTAGTGAAAGTCTCAGCATTACAAATCAGGGTACACAAATAATTCCAATTTCATTATGTATAACAATGTAATTTTACATATACCACACGTACATGTTTGAATGTATATATAGACTAAGACTACCTGTACTGAATTGAAAATCTTGATTGAGACTGGGGAGGTGAAAATGGGTTAATAGACAATTAAATCAGAGGTTTTTTGTGGTAAAGGAAGTAGATATTGAGATTCCTCTAGCGGTTGACCTTTATATTGATAGAGGCTTTACATGCATTGTCTCCACGGCGGGGTGACATTGCTCGACAGCTAGATATATACTGATGTTAGGGTGAATGTAAGCGCAGGCACGCAGCAGGCTGTCCATCTTTATAGGACAATTAAGTGACTGTCGCCAGGAGTGAGACGATCTTTAGTATGATACGGTAGAGCAGAGGTACCAGTAGCGGGTGTCAAAACGTAGTGAGATAATTAAATCACCAGGAGTAAGACCTTGTGTAGTATAGTGTTGTACATCAGAGGTGCTGGATGCCGAGTATAATTGATCAAGGGAGTGAGTGATCTAACTGTAGAGAGAGATCAGATTGGATTCACACCATTTGGTCAGAGATTAACGTTAAACATTTATAAGTATTGATGACAGAGAATGGATAACAATGTTAGATTTGTATTCCTACTCTCTACAGGTACCCTAACCTGAGGTACAGGGTGTAGAAAACACACATATATTATGAAGTACCTTATCAATGTTTGTCTTCAATCTTCATGATACAAGAAATGTATTAATTGGTAATAGAAGTTTTTACCTGTCTATTTTGGTACGGTATTGTAAATTGAGTGCCAGGAGAATCTTGTTAAAACCAGAAATATTACAGATGCGAAAATGAAAACATCCTTTGAAATGGTTGTAACCATTCTTGTTGATGCATGGAATTCTAAGTTTTGTCAATTAGATCAACTAATGTATTGAAAATTCTTTGTACATCTACGTACAGTAAAACTTTGTTATTACAAATCTGAATACCATGTATATATTGAAATCTTTTTAGCACATGGTATTTTGTTGATATTTGTTTTAAGTCAGCCAAATACTCCATTTATTGCTCATGATTCCAACGACTTCGACAAGTTAGCTAGGTCTGACTGTAGCCTGGTTTAGAACATTTTGTTTTACAGCTTATCGATATTGAGGTAGTTTTGTGACTGTAGGACTAACCATGTTTACTTTTGTTTCAGCTTGAGCAGTCACTGAAGGGAGACAGCCCTGACCAGTCCATCGACGCTCCCTCTAAGAACCTCGTCCAGCAGAACATTGAGCTGCGACGTAAGTTGGAGGACGAACACTCGAGTTACAAACGTAAGCTACAGGCGTACCAGGACGGTCAGTCTCGCCAGGCCCAGCTCGTACAGAAACTACAGGCCAAGGTACGATTTACACTTTTGTAGTATTAGTAACATCGTAACTAGGTGAGAAGGTCATCAGCAGATTAAAGTATGATATGCACATAGTTACAGTCTACTTTTTGTCAAGAGATGTTAGCTATTGGTTAAATTCTATTCCACTGAAATAACATCTAACTAGGTCAAGGGGTCATCTACAGGCTAGGAAATACTTTTTAGTAACATGTAACTAGGTCATAAGATCATCTATATTTCAAGATACACTTGTCTTAATAACAATTAACTTGATGGGGGGGGGGGGGGGGGGAGTCATCTATAGGTGAGATGTGCTCATATGGGTAACATCTAACTTGGTCAGAGGGTCGTCTGTAGTCAGTGATACGGTTGTCTTGGCAACATTTAACTAGGTCATCTACAGGTCGAGGTGCCGCTCCCATATGAGTAACAATTGATCAGGTCAAAGTGTCATCTATAGGTCAAGGTGCATTTGTCTTAGTAACATTTATCTAGGTCAGGGGTCATCTACAGGTCAAGATCTGCTTCTCTGAAGTAACATCTTGAAAAGGTCAAGAAGTTTATTTATAGGCCGGGATTGTTGATGATAATAGGATGAGTTGGGTGTTCATGTCATTGGTTTGTAATCGGTGTGATTGTTTCATGAATTTATTTTCATCTGTCATCTTCATTTCAATATTAACAAATCATATTTACAATCATTTATTCACAACTATGAATTTATTTCGTTTTGTTTGGATTCCATTGAAAAAAGAGACTTGATCTTTATTCATGTAACTGATGTTATAGATTAAATCTTTGAGAGTTTTGGTGACTTTGAACTGTTGAAACTAAAGATATAATATTAACCTCACTGTTAATAAGTTTTCTTTCAATTTGATAAAGGGAGATATTGTTCTTATTGGAAGTCAGGGTCACTCCAAGCATACCTTGTACTATGTGCTTCTTTCCTTAAAGATCATTTCGATTATGCACATTTGAAATTTGTTGCACAGTTTATTTTGAAGTATGATAATCTGATCAATATGACTTACATTGTTAGTGTGTTGATATACTCCATGGTCCTCAATATTGATGGGTAGTTGTACATGTTTACACTGAGATTTTCAGATTTTCTTTTGACACATATCATTCAATTACTACCATGACGTCTAAACAGAATTAATATAAAAAAGAAATAAGAACAAAGTCTTTCTATTGGATAGAAATGTTAATCATTCTCTGTATACGTAGAACAAACCATTATTTCTCCCTTTCTGATGGAAAGGTTAATTGAATTGTGCTTGAAAACATTTATTTTTCCTGATTTTCCTTGTTTGTACGATTTTGTTGACCATCTTCAGATGGAACATAAACAGGTGAATGTAGGTTTCGATGTTCTCTCCGTTTCTATCACATTTGCATCCCATAGATTGCGCCGTGCAGTTAGAGCACGCGCCCAATCAGCTGCCAGACTAGTGACAGAGCCTCAAGTCTAACATATTTGTCAGTAGCTTTAATTCCTGCTTTATAGACACTAGCTGATTTAGGGATCAAAATGATTTTTTTCTTTTAAGTTTAAATTTTTTGAGAAATATAAATTACAGTTTTGCAATGCATAAGTTATATAATTTTATTAATATGCATGCTTAAAGCAATTTTTTATATGCAAGAGGGTTAAATAACCTCTTAATAAGCCACCAAAAAATATATAAAAATGTACGGGAATCACAAATAATAGCATGTTATCAGGGATACAATCCATACCCCTCCCCCACATATGTACACACACATGCACACATCTCATTTCTATTCAGAAAACATTTGCATGATATAAGTGATTTTGTTAACCTTTTTTAAATTTCCGATTGAAAATAGATAGACTTTTGTAGAGTTCTAGATTAAGAGATATAGTTAAGATTACAATACTTTATGTCTAAGTTAGCAGTTTTCATCTCATACATTTTTGGGCATTGAGGAAATGCATCATTGGAAATAAGGTTATAAATAATATGGTTAATGCTTATAATTAATTGTTAATACATGTAATGGCAATGAGATGATGATAATTTATGTTCTTATATCTGAAAAATAATGAAAAGTCAAGGGATTTTAAGATATGTGTACCATGCATCATTGCATTTAGACAGAATACTTTATCTTTGAAGAACTAAGTTCACAGGGATTTGATATATATATAAATGTATTATTAAATTCAAATAATCTTAAATAAATTGAAAAAAAAATAACAAAGAAGGAGCACAAAAATTTAATTTTCTTAAGCAAATTTGAAAAACCAAAAGGGACACTGATGATCCCTGAAGCATTAATATGACACTGCATTGTTTAGGCTTGTTGGTAGAACCCTCACGGTAGGCTGTCAGACAAAGCCTTTCGTAGTGTAACTCTTATCTGTGCGAGATTCTGCTTCATTCACAGCTTTTACAATACAAGACAAAATGTACGGAGATGGAGAGAACAGTCCGATCCAAGGATTCTCAAATCCAACGTATGCAATATCAGGTAATTTACAGCTATGTATGCATGTGACCTCTCAACTTTGACCTTAGTTTTGACCCTTTCTTTGTTCGATCATTCCCTAGGTTTTGCAGTACAAGAGGAAGTGTGAGGATCTAGAACTTGACCTTGGCGACGTAAAAACACGTTACGATCATCTGAAGTCGGTAAGGGTAGCGTGATTGTGTGCCGCACCCTTCAGCCTCGTGTGAAATTAACGCATCCTTTCTAATAGGTGTTTGTTTTCTGTCTCCTCCCTACAGTGGCTCAACACTACTCACATACAGTGAGACTTTAAAGATTAGAAATAACGGAAACTTGTTTAAAAAAATAATAAGAAATGTTCCAATTTATGAACAAAAAATTAGGAACAAATTCAGATAGCCAACTTTAGGAATAATATAATTGGAAAGAGATAAAGAGAAAAAGCCAGAACTTTTAAGCTTACCGTGTCTTAATATAACAAATCGGTTTGATATTTTGAAACATATCTAAACATGTATGTTGAGCCACTGTTGTTTCTATCCCTAATTTTTTTCTTTTTGTTTTTCACAAGAATTTTGTTTTTCTTTTCCTTTTTCTTTTTCATGTCTACAACTTTTAGTTGATCTTTTCTGCACCTTTGCCTGATTTTGTCTTTTTACCAAAGTATAGGGTCATGAGCACGAAATGTCAAGCTAGCAACCTTAACCGATACCCATGTCTTTCATTCAGTGAAACAGTTTGTGGCACTCTGGAAATGCATACCTTGGTATGGATGATAGATATGTAACACTGACATCGTTATAGAAAGCCAAGGTGAAGGTCAACGAACATCCAATCATAATCATTAAATTAGTATTGAATGGTTGCAGGATGTTTGAATTTTACATACTGTGATAGGCTAGGAAAATTCAAGACCATCCTGATACCACGATCTCAGGATAATTGTATCATAATGTACAATAAGTATTCGAAGAAAACATCCTAGAGAAAGTCCAAAGAGTGGCGGGAAATAGGATAAAGAGGACCAAAGGGAGATAATTCATGTTTAAGATTAAATTTGTTAGAGGAAAAAGTAAAATAAAAATCAATGCAGAAGTGTTTAGAATTGTGCCTGTTGAAGATTATGTAAAAAATAACATGACTTCAGTACAGGTATAATTTGTATTCTAACCAATCCCATTGGCAAGCAAAGGAATATCTTACCTGTACGTGACTTTCAATCAAAGTACAATTAATCCCTTCACACAGAAATAGAATTACCAAGAAAGTCACAAATCAAAGGTCACTGTTAGAAAATGGGGTGAACAGGATTCTTATAATTAAATAGTTTACTTATGCATTGAATGAGGAAAGTTTGTAGACTTTACGTTAATTGGATTGCTGACGGAAGGAAATGTGGTTAAATGTCACTGTGATGTTTGTACGGGTGTTTGTGTCCACGAGTCAGCTGTTATAACGTGTGTTGTATAATCACGGTTATTGTTGTGTGGGTCAGTATGTAATACTTACCAAGTTTGTGTTGTCAAAGCACTCATTGAAAGTTTATGTAAATCAAAGAAAATTAAATTCATTTCACGTTATATATTTACTATTAATGCCCCCCGCAAATCTTCGCTATACACATTTTACCTCACAAATCTTTATTGTATGCAATTTACTTCACCTGGTTCTCAGGCCTGTATCCAAAAACAGTTCAACTTCAGTTCAGTTCTTTATTTGCTTAAGTTTTACAACTTATGGCAATTCACCCCTGAATACGCATTTGAACTCTTCCAATTCAAAGGTTGGAATAGTTCATTATGAAATTTCAAGCGTGAATGAGTTAAAATAGTTGAATGTGTGCTGATGTGTTCATATGCCAGTACACTTGCATTAATAAACTTTTCTTACTTTAATGGTCACCAAATGACTGACTAATACTGAACGCTGATAACAAAAATAGGGGAAAGTTTTTACATTGTTTGAAGGTTATGATTTATCAAATTTCTTATCATTGTTCATTGGATAGCTGCCAAGATAAGAACTCCTTGTCTGTACCTACAGCAGAGTAACAAATAGAAAATCAAGATTAAAGATAAAGCGATTTCTGTTTAAAAATAAAATGCTCATGTGCTTTGACCCTGGTTGATTTGTAGTGTGTTAGAGCTTATCTATCAACCTCACTTACGGTGATGCTCATTTGTTTACTGGAAACCATCGGGTGTAAAAATCTTTTTTTTCACGGATCAAAAGACCGGAATTCCGGAATCAGTGGTCAAGTTTGGACACGATTTCACTCAGATACGTTAATGGCTCAGTGTGACCATTACAAGAATAATGCTAACATCAATACACCAGAAAATAGGGCTCGGTCAATCAATATACCCGTAGAATTCGCTGATATTGAGGAAAGTGAATGGAATCTCAGCCGGGTACAGCTTGTGTTAAGAGATTGTAGGATCCTGTTATATGAGCCCATTCGGTGAATCGTATTGTTAAGGTTTCGATTATTTGCCGAAAACAGTTGCTGTCTATTATAATGCTACAAAGTTTATACCGTTCACTTGTTAGGTTGTTTGGTCGATTGTTTGATCCAATGGTCAAATATTGCCCTCTCCAACGTGGTCCTCAAGTCCACTTAACTTGCTGATAGTAAATAAAAGTGAAGAGTCGAAGAGCTACTTGGTCACTAACTACAACACCTGGATACTTTGGTCAGTCCTTAGGTCAATCAGTGCAAAATTCTTTGTTTTTAATCCACAGTTTGGGTGCAGCTGCACTTTGGAAAATGATTAAAACATGATAGATTTTCAAAATTCTTAGCTTTTCCTTAATTTAAATTCACAGTTTCAGCAAGACCTAAGCTTTTACTTAATTTAAGTTCGACAAGTTCAGTAAGATCTAGTATATTTACATCATGGCTTAAATTATAATGCAAAATATTTGTTTTCAAATTTGGGATAGCACTGATATTACAAGATAACTTTGAAGATTAACAATACCTCTGCAGATTTTAAGACAGTAAATTTTTGTTGACAAAATAAAAATATAAAAATCGGGTGAAAGATATATATAATCTGATGCAGCGATACTGTTATTTGAAATGGATTAAAAATATATATTTTTTAGATGTGTAAGTCATTGAATTAACGTATCAATTAAAAACAAAAAAAATCTTTAAATTTGTGAAATTTTATTTGCTCAGGCATTTGTTAATTGTTTTCTTACCTGGCAATACATCATTTCTTTTTTTTCTTTCACTAAATTCTTTGTTTATTGTTTTCTTTTACTTATTTGAAAACATATTAGTACTTGCTACCAAAATGTTAATGTTTTGGCAAATATGAAAATAATCAGTGGTGTTAAAAATATCTGATACGATTTCATTTAACTCTCGCATGTTAATAGTTGTTAAATGAAATTAGAAAGTTACACAATACCTGCGTGTGTAATCAGGTATGTTCAATTATCGTGTGGAATTAAAACCGGAGAAGATCAAATGTCTACCACACAGAGGCTGAGAACAAACGAATGTATAATCACGAACAGGTGATCGCCTCGTCATCTTGTTACCTCATGCCACGGGCAAACCACCAGCACACCACCACCGTGTTGACTATTCTAGTCTAGTTACACATTAAATATCGCACACATTCTCAATGAAACAAAGACTGCTCAGTTACTTAAACAAATTTGTCTACCGATTTATTTAAAATAATGAAACATTTATTTCATTTCTCAATTTCACATGCCAGTTTGGTCCTTTAATAAAAATTTCTCCTGCATTTTAAAATTTGCAATTGATTTGCCAAATATTGTCTGAAATATAACAAATGCTAAGAAAATATTTTTTTGTATGTCATCAAGTATAATCAAAAGTGTGGGAACTTTGTTTCTGTTCCTGGTACAGGGTGACCTTGGTCGATTCAGACTAACAGGTCTATACCATTACAAATATATACAAATATATCTGATTACTGATAAAAAACCGTACAAGTTCTGTGTTTGGTAATTTGAAGGCTTTCTTTATGTCTGTGCTGGCATTCAGTCAGATTTTCTAGACATGAAATCAAACGATAAGATTTGATAACAAGGTAGGTTCAGACATGGCTACTAAGTAAATTAACCAGCACCACTTTGTACATTTAACACATTTAACTCCTTGTTTTAAATCCTATTCGATTTATTTTAGATTAATTCTTAAAATAACACCATTGAAGAACACATTTTTTTTTTAATTTTTTTTTCAAATTGGTTTTCACTAACAGTTAATTTTTTCATTGCACATGTAATAAAATCTGTATTATTAATAGTTTAATAAGGAAATAATAAAAGGAATTAAGCATTTTGTAGAATTTTACGAAAAAAATATTTTGATTAAAAGCTTAATTTAATTTATCAAAATTAATAAAATTAAATTCGCTATTGCAACAAGATATTATTCTTATTTACCATTTTCAAGGTCAGTGTTTACGAGGTAAATTATTTAATTGTAATGAAGATTTATGTAATAATCACCATAACTTGAATATGCATATCTTTCTACTACTCCCTTAGATTACCGAGCAGTAGAAATGATATGCATACTGAAGTATTATATCATGAATATTGGTTATAGAAAGAAAATTCCAATTTCCATTTGTGTAATCGTGAAGGTGAAAGTGTTGACCAGTGTCCACCAGTCTGGACATGTCCTACCCGACTAGGTGATCAATGTTGGCACTCTCCCTTGTTGTGGTCACTTAATCCAGTAATGACCGACACACTGCTCACAATAAGGTCATTAACGTGTCTGTACGACCAATGGTCAAGCAATTAAAGGTTACTGCAAAAGTCCACTGTACATATCAAACTTGACCAGGACATATCAAACTTGACCAATGCAATTATCTAACATGGACCTCAAATTTGTAATGTGATATGTAGACTCACCAATTAATGCTCCTTTTCGGAAACTGTATTGCAGGTTTGTTTTTATTTTTTTTTAATTGCTTATCATGCAGTATTTGTAACAGTACTATTCCCTTATGGGCACAGAGGTACAATCACAACATGACCTGAAATACTAGGTTATAACGGTGCTTTTATTATGGAGTTAAACAGATAAATGCGGACCTGTTTGGCCTTGTGAAGGGCGTCATCACAGCAATTGACACAACATAATTTTCTACATTTACTAGTTACACAACTTATTTAACCTACCTGAGAAAATAACGAGTTCGTATTTTTATGAAATTTGTGTATAATGATGTCTGTGATAAAATTGTATGGTTTTATAGTTGTATGTGACTGAATTATAGTTTAATGTTGTTTAGTGAATTATCACTTTGATTTGTTTAGATTTACATTGTAATATGATACAGTGGATGTGTCTGTGACCAGTTGTGTTTGTATTTTCAGACATCTGAGAGTTCTAGACTGCAGGAAACAGAGAACAACATGGATATCGAACAGGTCTCCATAAAGCTGGAGGAGGAACAGCAGAGGTATGTGTAACTTTCTTTATCATTTTTTTTTTAAACTTGACAGACATGAGGAGGGATAAAATGGAGAGGGGTGGGGTGGAGGTTGCCTCTTATAATGTTACGATAAATATAATCTGTCACTCCATATTGTGTGAAGGTTCCATATCCAAATGTGAACATGACCAGTTTGGTTACTTTATGCAACTTATCTGAGGTCGATAATATCAAGTTTATTTTAGAGCCATTTCTGTAACAATCATAGGACAGTTTTAGGTTAAATATAACCAGTAGCATTGAAATCTGGTGAAGTTTAGATTTACACAATGTCAGAGTGCCTCATGATAGTTTATACATGTATATCATTGCTATACATACAATGTGTGTATACACAAAGTATTTGTACATGTCATAATGAAAATGGTCAAGTGTTCTGGAAAATGGACTTGGAATGACTCAAATTATACACACGCAGAAACACCACATACATGCAGAAACGTAAAAAACACAGGAACACCAACATGCACAATCTTTTATGTCTAACTTGGTTGAATATCCAGTGTCTAAATGGCTGTCAACTGGGTGTAGTAGTAAATATCTAGCGCTCCATGCCTGTAGAGCCGAGGAATGCAGCATCCCTCCCACAGTGAGGCTCGGACAATTTGTCAAAGTTTATTGTTAGTGAATACATTAATGTCAAATCTATAACCTCCGATAAATGTCATTCGACAATTGTGCGACAATGCACGATTTTTTAAGTGCGGGACAGAGACATGAATATTTTATTTTTCGTACAGAATCGGACTCAATGACCTGTATCAATTTGGTTTTTATGTTGGAGGAAAATAAACGTATAGGAGTGTCGACATTGTAACATCAGTTCGGGTCAATATTGTTGGAGCAGGTCAGCGTATGAAAGCATAATGGAATGTCGAAAATGGATACTGGATACTGGAAAATTGTTTGATATTTCATAACTATAGGACTTGAATGGTACAGCATGGTGGAATTATTGATGTATTTTAATATGACAGTATAACAGCTCTTGCTTGTTTATGATAAAATGTCATAGTTGGATCAATATCGTGATGAAGTACCGGTACTTGTGCTATATAACTGATCTGATAATAATTATTGTACTCTAATGTAATATCAAAATGATTCATTATACCATTATAATCTAAAGGCAAAAGTGAAGTTTATAGCACTGAACAATTTCTGTGGTAGTTAAAACGAAATTTGGAAAATTTATTTGGAATAATATTGTCATTTATTGTGCAGCCATGATAGACATATTGTCCTGTGTAAAGGAAAATGCTGAATAGTCATTCCTATCATAGAAAAAACAGACAAAAGGCATGAATGTAGGGACTCACAGTACGGTGACTATATCCTACATAAGCTTAGTATATAGTCTCCGGGGACATCTCATCGTGGACAGATCAAATATAGATGATGCGAGATCACCAAGCATGACGATTGTACCAGGATGCTGAATCAGCAGATATAGGCACCAATCTTATCAGCCCAGTAGTGTCATCACTGTCTTAATGAGCGCCATCGCAATTAGTCGCTAACAATAAACAAATCACACAGGTTCTCACCTGTAATTAATTTTGCATTAAATGAATTACTGGTTCATAAGAGTATAATCATGTCTATTGAATCCTTGTCTGGTTTCTGCCACGTTATGCACTTTATTGCATGGTGGAAATCCAAACATCATTATCTGAATAATCCCATTTGACACGGTTATGCTGTTTTGGTGAGAATATGGAAATTTCATTGGTTAAATATTCATTGTTTGTCAATAGAGATGGAGAATGGTTGTTTGGACGGATGTGATGGATGGAGAAAGTGTGTTTCACTATGAATAAAATTTGGACAGAATGAGAGGATGGCATGGCTATAGAGATAGCTGTGTTAGATGGTGGGGTCGGGAGGGGGAGGGTGGTCAGACGGGATACCGTTAGCAGGGAGATTGAGCTGTGATAATGATAAAGATCAACCATGAATGATAACATACAAGGTGTTCACCTGGAACATCAGATTATATCCTGACATGGTTGTCATTTCAAAGACATCAAAACCAAGCACTATGGCTTTAAACAAGTCAATGAGATGAGAAATGGGATTGTAGGTCTTGTGCACTGGGTAAGATGATGGTAAAAAAGTTTCTGAGATTTCTGAAATATATTTTGTTGATATTAAACAATTTTTCTGTAATATTTGAGGCCTATAGTTTTATTAGCTCTCCTGAACTGTAATATATTTGCAGTAATATATTTAAATAATGAGAATATCTTGCAATGATTGCCTACATGTCTAAGTTATTAGATGTACAGGCCCTCTGGGTCTCTTGTTGATTATAGAACAATTTCTTTAACCAATGTATGGAGCAATATCGTTGTAACAGAGGGCACAGCGTTGTAGTTTACAAATGTGAAGTGTACAATTATCTTTCATGTATAAAATCCTTTTAGTTAATACCCGCAAGATAGGAGCTCAGTGAGCATTAAAATGTGGTGAGATTTCAGCTCCAATCTGTGCCTAGCTTTACCGTTATATGAAAGTATCTTCACCTTCTTTTCTTTAATTCACCACTTCCTTGTACTTACATCAGCAGTGTTTGATTCCTGCCCTCTGACCCTTGTTGATTATTTGACCTTGTGATGACCTTGTGATGACCAGTGTTTATTGTTTGACGTACAGGAGTGCCAGTCTGGCCCATGTGAATGCCATGCTGAGGGAACAGTTAGACCAGGCCACAGTAGCCAACCAGTCCCTCACCAACGACATCCACAAGCTCACCCAGGACTGGCAGCGAGCACGTGAGGAGCTCGACATCAAGGAGAACGAGTGGAGGGAAGAGGAACAGGTAAGTCGACACAAAACAACCTGTGTGATTACCCAAACTATTTACCCTTTCATCCCTATATAACTTTAGTAGACTCTACCATGCATTGATATGGATGAGTCCATTAATGTCTACAGTGGTGAAAGGGTTAATTGATGGAAAACTGGGAGGACAGATTTGCTTTTGTGATACAATATTTAGTGTAACTGATGATCAATTTGTAATGTCAGACAAAATATTAACACGTTTGGCACAGTTAATGTATCTTCGGAATTATTTGTCATTTACTACTAATTGTTTTAGTGAAAACACTTTCAGACTAATGATACAATGCTGATTTATTTCCAGTCTTTCAACGAGTACTTCAGTGCTGAGCATGGACGCCTTTTGAATCTGTGGCGTCAGGTAGTCTCTTTTCGGCGCAGTTTCGGGGAGCTGAAGACGGCCACAGAGCGTGACATGTCACATGTCCGCGCTGATGTCATCAAGGCCTCCCGCAGTGTGCATTCTGCCTGTCTCAACCTCAGCGCTAACATGCGTAACTCAGAGACATCCTCTCAGGTACGTGTACCCTATAACCCATACTATGTGTGGTGACAGCATTCTCAAATTGTTCTAACACGTTTTTTGTTGATATATCTTCATGTCTGAACTACCAAACGTAAACATTTTACGAAAACCACTTTTTCCTCCTCCAGGATGTGATTTTACTATCATAGCCATTTTTTGGTAACATTACAAATTTCCTGTTCTGAAAATGAAACTCTTGTTGAAATGAATATAACTTGGGCAATTTAACTGTTTTTATTTTTCACCGATAGGTTCTCCTTGACCGTGAGCGAGCTGACCGTACGTCTATCGAGTCACAGTTGAGGGAGAAGATCCGTGAGGTGGGAGAGACTCAGAGTCGCTATGACGTTCACAGCGCTGAGCTCAACGCCAAGTAAGTTTTTACGGTAACGCAGACCCTGGGTCATCTTTTGACAATATTAAACCAAGTTCATAAGAAACAGGATTTGGTTCAGGTGGAGAATCAGTGATTATGTTTCTTTCAGATGAGCAGGATAATTGCACATATTGGTTCTTGTCAAAATATCGTTAAAAAATTCACCTATGTTTAAATGTAAACTTGTTAATATCTATGCTATATCTTTCCTACTTCTGTAGCAGTGGTTTTACATACAAACACCAATACAGTGAGCTCAATCTATAACTAGTTTCTACCCTAGACCTTGACCCGGAGAGATTTAGTGTACATACATACAATGTAACTGTTTGTGTACTATTTCTGTTCATCCCTATAAATAATGTATGCATAAGAAAAATCCATTGAGAATTCTTGCTATATCTGTGTAGTAGTCCAGTAGATGTGTTTCACAGCTACAGCGTGGCTTCTATTGGTGTTCCCGGGTATCCCCTAATGTACAGATTCCTCAGTGATCAGTTATGCAAAACCTACTCAATTATATATATATGGTCTGGTTTTTATCAGAGATCCTATATTTCTAGAGTCTTCCTTATAGACAGTGCTCATATATATATATATGCACTGTCAGGAATCTTCTCCTGTTTGACTTAAGTTTGGAGTATTTTCTCAATGTAAAATAAATACTGATAGATTTGAATCTTGAACTTTTCAGAGCTTGTAACCCTTGTACATGAACTGTTGATAGTTTTAGTTAAAGGAGGTATGAATTGATCTTAAACAGTTGTGATGTGACAGGAATACATTGTTTTAGAGTCCTACATTATTCATAGACATGGGTTCTGCAGACTTGTTTACTATTGTAAGTAAGGCACAGACAACACAAATCTTTGATCTTTACTAGTGTCAGTAATATACAGGTGATACAAGACTTATACTGTAGATTTGCTGATGTCCAGATATGTCCAGGTATACAGGTATTTTACACCTGTAGCTTTGCTGATGTCCAAGTAAACAGGTATTTTACACCTGTAGCTTTGCTGATGTCCAGGTAAACAGGTATTTTACAACTGTAGATTTGCTGAAGACCAGGTATACAGGTATTTTATACCTGTAAATTTGCTGATGTCCATGAATACAGGTATTTTACACCTGTCCTGGTCCCGTAAGATGGAGATGTGTGTGTGTTACCTATGTGAGGTAGTGGACAGCTATGTGCCTGCATGTCTAACCTCTGGTATGTGTATTGATCTGTAGGGTAAATGAGCTGACCATGATGAATGAGAAGCTGAAGATTCAACTGGAGGAGCGGGAGAAGTCCATCTCCAACCTCCAGCGCAACATCGGCAACATGGAGACTCGTCTTGGTGAGCGCAGCTACGACCTTCCGGAGACAGACACCGCCCGCCAGATGAGAGAGGAAACTGAATCCGTCCACTTTGCGCTCCGTAACATCGCAGAGGCCGTGATGAATGATGTTGATGAGGCTCCCCTGGATGAGGAGGCAGCTGAGGCTGCTGGAGGCCGCACTTCCCCATCAAGGGCAAGGTCAATCTCCCCCACAGCTAGGGCAAGGTCACCATACATCAGGAGTCGGTCCAAGTCACCTCTGTCAGGCGCAAGGTCACCAGCTTTCGCCGATGCTACATTCTCAGCAGTTCAAGCTGCTTTGAACAAGCGTCAACTCCAGGTGGCAGAACTTCGCGCCAAGCTTAATGCCACGCGTGATCATAACTGCGTCATCCGGAAAAACCTTGATGACCTTGATAACGAACGCCGCAGAATGGAGATGCAGATCCTTAATCTGAAGGAAGAAGTAGACATTGCGTAAGTGTTTAATGCGTGTTTTCAGAAAGAGATATATCAGTTTGGTGTGAAATTATCTGCTAAATTTGTTTTAAGCACAACAACAAACTTAGCATAAATCAGAAAATTACTTTTTTTAAATTGAGAAAAAGATAATTTCAAATTGTACTGAATGGAAGTTAATGACTGTATTAAACACAGGAAGTTAAGGAATGATGAGATTTAATAGAACTTGTTATCATATGACTGTGTGTGAAGATATATAACTTTACAATAACAATAGTCAGATTGGACAGTGTTTTGATGATAATACATATGACTTGGTCTGTTTATGCAGAAAAAGAAATGATCATGTACATCCTTGTCTGTCTAATATGATGAAAGAAAAGATCATTTATGACCTTGTCTGTTTAATATAATTGAAGAAAAAATCAAATGTCTAATATTATAGAAGAATTTCATTTATGACCTTGTCTGTCTAATATCGTAGCAGAAGAGATAGTTTTTGACCTGGTTTTGTCTAATATTATAGCAGAAGAGATAATTTTTGACCTGGTTTTGTCTAATATTATAGCAGAAGAGATAGTTTTTGACCTGGTTTTGGTGTAATATTATAGCAGAAGAGAACGTTTTTGACCTGGTTTTGTCTAATATTATAGGAGGAGAGAAAGTTTTTGACCTGGTTTTGTCTAATATTATAGCACAAGAGATAGTTTTTGACCTGGTTTTGGTGTAATATTATAGCAGAAGAGAACATTTTTGACCTGGTTTTGTCTAATATTATAGGAGGAGATATAGTTTTTGACCTGGTTTTGTCTAATATTATATCAGAAGAGACCGTTTTTGACCTGGTTTTGTCTAATATTATAGGAGGAGCGATAGTTTTTGAGCTGGTTTTGTCTAATATTATAGCAGAAGAGATAATTTTTGCCCTGGTTTTGTCTAATATTATAGCAGAAGAGATAATTTTTGCCCTGGTTTTGTCTAATATTATAGGAGGAGCGATAGTTTTTGACCTGGTTTTGCCTAATATTATAGCAGAAGAGAATGTTTTTGACCTGGTTTTGTCTAATATTATAGCAGAAGAGATAATTTTTGACCTGGTTTTGTCTAATATTATAGCACAAGAGATAGTTTTTGACCTGGTTTTGGTGTAATATTATAGCAGAAGAGAACATTTTTGACCTGGTTTTGTCTAATATTATAGGAGGAGCGATAGTTTTTGAGCTGGTTTTGTCTAATATTATAGCAGAAGAGATAATTTTTGCCCTGGTTTTGTCTAATATTATAGCAGAAGAGATAATTTTTGCCCTGGTTTTGTCTAATATTATAGCAGAAGAGATAATTTTTGCCCTGGTTTTGTCTAATATTATAGCAGAAGAGATAATTTTTGCCCTGGTTTTGTCTAATATTATAGGAGGAGAGATAGTTTTTGACCTGGTTCTGTCTAATATTATAGGAGGAGAGATAGTTTTTGACCTGGTTCTGTCTAATATTATAGGAGGAGAGATAGTTTTTGACCTGGTTTTGTCTAATATTATAGGAGAAGAGACCATGAGGATTCCAACCGTGATCGCAACAGGATAAAGAACGTACTGAGTCTGACAGGAAACGAGAAGTCGCAGCTCGAGAAGGTTCGCCAGGAACTCAACGACCAGATTGACTGTCTGCAACAGGAGAATGAGAAACTTAAGGCTGCAAACACCGATGTCCAACGGCAACGGGACAACATGGAGGATGAACGTGACGACGTTGCCAAGGATAAGGACCGTCAGATGAAGGAGAACGATAGGAGGTAGGTCAAAGAGAAATAAAAACACCGTAGGTATTGGCCTGTAAATGATCCTTGGTTTGGATTGGTTGTGTTTTGTGTCCTAACAACAGCTATGGTCATTTAAGGACGTGCCAGGTTTTGGTGGTTGAGGAATGTCTGAGTTCCCGGAAAAAAACCCCCACTGACCTGCGGCCAGTAGCTGGCAAATGTTCCATGTAGGCCTCGAACCCACGACCCAGTGGTGGAGGGCTAGTGATCGTAGACGGTCAGACGCCTGATCCACTCGGCCACCACGGCCCCTTATATATGCTCTTCAGTAAATATAGATAAAATAAAATAAATTGGATAGAGGTTTATTAAGTTTAAAATCCTTGAGAATAATGTATTATCAATGTTACTATGAAAATAAACAAATATAGCAGAAATCACAGTTAAAATCAGCTAACAATCAAGTTAGTAAGGTCTTATCTATAAAGTGCATACTCAGCAGTGTGTTCCATAGAATTACTTTAACTTGGGCTACTTGACAAAGCACCAGGAACCAAATGAAGGGGAAGGATTTATCTGTGCTTGAATTGTAAATCACTCAAACCTAATGTAGCACATACAGGGAACGAAATAAATCCATTCTGATAAGTGATCTATGTAGATATTGAACTTCTGATGGCAACGATTTAATCAGGGCACATGTTGCACCTACCTACTGGCGGGCAAGTCAACAGTTTTATATCTACGTTCAATTTCACACTAGGTGTCCAAAATCACAGATTACATAAGGATATCTTTGAATCTAATACAAATACAAGCTTCTCATTGGAGATCAAATGAAATTTTACTAGAATATGTTCATTGTGAATTGTCTGTTCAACCAGCAAGCCAGTGGGACAACAGTTTTATCTAAAATTTAACCCCGAAACTCGTTTTACCGTAACAGATTGGTTGAGATCAAAGAAGGACAATACACAGCTGAAAGTGATGGGCTAAACTTATTAAAATCCTGGGATTGAAATTTAAATGACATTTAAAATTTCGGATAGAGAAACATACAGGTGAATTTGAAAACAGATATAAATAGAATTATGTTTTAAAGTGTAGCTGGTCTTCAATTCGGCATCAGGTTGTCAGAATTTGATAAAATGGGTATTGATTTTGGAAAAAAAGTCTGTGAATTAAGTTCAGGTTGAATACGACTATTTGCAGGTGGTTAGTTTGTAAGGACATGTGTTAGGACTATAGCCCAATACATGACCGATACATGCGTCAATGTAAGCCTACATAAGTAAGAAATAAACACACGCATGTTACATCATGTCTCAAAGGAAATAAACTTCAGCATTTTATGTCATTGTAAATATACTGTACTTTAAGCCATAAGAATGAATCTGAAATAATTTTCCATCAATTGAAAGAAATCCTGCATTTACCTCAGTCTTAAAAACTTTTTATTTTGTACACTATTGTATTTATGAGTTCTGCTTAAAATTGGTATTGTGTATCTACTGAAATTTTGCAGTACATATCCATTGTGCTGTAGTCTTTTAATATAGTTTAGTAAATTTTTTGTCAACCAAACTTCCTGACCTTTCTTTTTGGACTTGCTTAAAATTTATAAAATCCTAAAACAAACATTATTGAACTTATTCAAAATTGATGAAATCTTAACTAGCGCTTTTTGAAGTTATGTAAGATTATAAGATTTAAATTAATTTTATTGAACTTGATTTTTTTTTTTTTTACCTACAGCCACCGTATGATCGACCAGCTGGAGCACAAGATCAGTACTCTGAAGGAAGAACTGGTCTCCACTAAGGAAGCACTCAACCGGGCCCTCCTGGACAAAGAGGTTCTGGAACAGCAGAGGGGAGAAATCTGTAAGTCATTCATCCTGTATTCCAGTTACTGAGGCTGAGCACATCCAAAAGTGAAATTAATTATAATTTAAAGGGATATGTGTGTAGAAATGACATATTGTACGAATTATTGAACTTGAGGAATCTTTTTTAGTATTTATTTAAAAAGTAATCCTATTTTTGTTTATACACTAACATTATTGATTGACATGCTACCTCATTAGGTTGTACACAACACTAGGGTAGCTTGGTCATACTTGATTACAGTGCCTTTCAAGTAGAATGTATCTGTCTTATAACAGCGGACACCCTGTCAAAGGCCGAGCTACAGAAGGCTGACTTAGAGCTGGAAATCAACCGTACCCAGACTGAGGATGCTGGCCTCAGGGACGCCCTCCTTAAGATGCAGGCTCTCAATGAAGGACTTGGCCAGGACAAGATTGAGCTCAACAAGATCATCATGCAGGTATGCATAAGTTTACTTCAGTATGAAATATTGTGTCTCAATTGTTGACTATTCCTATCGAAACAACTTGTTGACCATTTGAGTGATTTCCGCTGACTGTGAGGTTTTTCTCTCTCAATTTATAAAAATACTGGTCCCAACTCCTCTGTATTCTGGCCCTGACCGTGCATATGAAACCAAGCTGTACATGGTGTCCTCTGGCACTGGTTATGTATATGATGTCCACTGACCCTGACTTTGTATATATGATGTCCTGTGCGGCCCTGACTATGTTTACGATGTCTTCAGGTTCTGACTATGTAAATGACACTCTCTGGCCCTGATTCTGAATATATAATGTCTTCTGGTTCTGACCGTATTTATGATATTATCTGTCCCCAATGCTTATATAGATTATGTTATCTGGCCCTAACTATGTCTGTGATGTTTTCTGCACCAAATATATTAGATGTCCTCTGTCCCTGACTATGTATATGATGTCCTCTGGTCCTGACTCTTTAAATGTTGTCCTCTGGCCCTGACTATGTATATGATGTCCTCTGGCCCTGACTCTGTATACGTTGTCCTCTGTCGCAGATGGAATCTGAGAAGGCCAGTCTGGCCGGAGAGAAGCAGCTCTTGGAGCAGGAGAAGACTGGTATCCGAGAGGAGCTTGTCCGAGTGGAACAGGAGAAGATGGACCTGGATACAGAGAAGATGGGTAAGTTCCATCCAATTTCAAATTATATAATTACAAGTCATAAAAGTGTGCAACATGTCTCACAAAAAATAGAAAAATCGAAATTTACATTTTATATATTCAAATTTAAGTATATTAGGCCCAGTTGTCCAGCAATATCTCCTGACTCTGTTTAAGCATTAGATACTTCATTGACCTGGATTGTTGGTATTTGTCATTGACATTTTGGCTGTTATCTTGACGATTGTGAGGTTGATGATTTCAGGCCTGAACCAGACCCTGGAGTTGAGTGAGATGACCAGACAACAGTTGGAGGATGAGATTGGAGCCCTGAACAGAGAGAAGGGAGAGGTCACAGAAAGCTTCAATGCTGTAAGTCTTGTACTAACTAAGAAAGGACCACACTAACAGATCTAAAACATCAAGATATATTACCTGTTTCTTCCCAGTTTCGAACAGATTAAAAAAATCTTTGAGAAGAGATATTAATTTGATGGATATACTGAGTGTAAACAGATTTATAAACTTACTTATTTTGCATCAAAAATTGAAGTGGTTACAAATGATGTTGAACCAGTGTTTGACCTTGACCTTTGCTGTTACAGACCAGCAGACAGAAGCAGGCTTTGGCCGAGGAGCTTCTTACTACCCGTAAGGAGGTCGAACGCCAGAGCAGTAACTATGTCCGAGTGGCCAAGGAGAAAGAGATCCTTACACAAGATAAGGGCGAGCTTATCGTCCAGGTCACCGCCACAGAGCGTGAGAACCGCCAACAGAGCGAGGTGATCGCAGCTCTCCGCAGCGAGAAGGACAGCCTGGAGAGCGCCCTCTATGAGGTGACTCAGCAGGCCCAGGCTCTGGAGGTCCGTAAGGAACAGCTGGAGGGCGAGAACCAGGAACTGATCATCAGGAAGGAGAATCTACAAGGTACGTCACACTGTTTACCACCTCACTTAGGGCGAACATATTTCAAGGTTCCTTTCCTCTGAACCATTCCTTTACCATTCTCCCTTGATATATCTTCAAACCTAGTTTTGCCAGACAAACAATGAAAGGATAATGAAATTTTATGCTGTAATGGTATATGCCATAATGTCCAACTTTTTATACAAGTTATAGGTATTTCAGCGATGTTCGTGTTATAAAACATATTTGCTGCTTCCCTGTAATTACTCATAAGCTTTAATACATAGTGTTTGCTTAGTTGAAGAGACCCTATTAGACTAAGTATATCCGGAATGTGTGAAAGTCACGATTTTTTTTTAGCTTTTCATTATTGTTTACAAAAATGTTCAGCTGAGATAAACCGCCTGATGAAAGAAAAGGAGGCAGACATCGAGAAGTTTGAGCATCAGAAGGAGGAGCTCAACAAACGCCTCGCCCAGCTGGAGCGTGACATGCAGATGGCTCTCACTCAGGAGAAGCAGACCCACGAGGAGGATGTGGAAAGGCTGACCAGGGAGAGGGTAGGTTCAAACAGATGTTGTTACCTGAACCCTGAAATCATGATTAAGTTAAAATTTTACAAATCTGAATATTTACTGTGCAGTTATATAGCCAAGCTTGATGTAAGTAAAAATTCACCCCTTAAGAAACATTTGAACTCTTCCAGTTCAAAGGTTGGAATAGTTCATTATGAAATTTAAGGGGTGAATGAGTTAATGTGACGGTTTCTTTACTAATTGGTCATCTATGTTGTTTTACAGGAAGTACAGCGCCAGGAGTACGAGAACGAGCGTGATGAGGTACTCCATCAGCACGCCATGGAGAAGGAGGACCTGATGATGCGGGCTGACCGCGAACGCGAGGAGCTCGGTGAGGAACTAGCAAACCTACAGAGGGACCGTGACAACTCCCTCCTCATGGCTGAGAATGACAAGCAGCAGGTAAGACAACTCAATCAATGACTAATATTTTACTGTAGAAAAGCTATTATCAGGTGATAAATTCTGTAAGGTCGTTTGTAAGCTGAAATTCGTGAATAATCCTAGCAATCACTAGTGAAAGGTGAAAAATATTATGATCTTGATGTCCAGCAGTATTTCTTTTCAGTATTATTCATAAAGAATTTTCAACCAAGAACAGGTACCGCCAAAAAGAACATAATCATAATTTGCCCAGGCAGCATTTCTTTTCAATATTATTCACAAAGAATTTTCAATCAGGAACAGGTACTTTGGGGAAGAACATATTGATTATTTGCCCAAGCAGCATTTCTTTTCAATATTATTCAGAATGACTTTTCAATGAAATAAACCTTGAATATATAAGAACATATTAATACAATATAATTTGAACATGAAGATGTTTTCAATGTGTTTCTATGAATGGTAACGTATGTTGATGAAATATTGATCATCCTGATTATCTACTGGAGTGTAGTGTAATAGTATACACATTATAATACCATTACACAATATACATCTATACAACACTACAGTTTAACTGTGTTATTACAAAATACAGACAACATTTAATGTAGAGCATCTGACAAAGAAAAACAAATCTAGAATTTAAAGTCACGTAATATTGATTCCCTATGATGAAAACAAAATTTGTGCACAAAGCTGAACAGGTGTGTATGTGAATCAATGATGAAGCATAGATGATTTGCCATCATTAAAGTCTATTTAGTGTAGTCTGACTCATGGTAGGGCTGATAATAACATAGAAATATGTTATTTACAGGTTGGTACAAAATTGCATATTTTTTCCCCAATACTAAAAGATTCCATGTGCAGTGTCTCTAATCCTTAAGAATAGTCTCCCTTGTTTCTGTTGATTTCAGTATCATTTAAGTTTCAATTGGCAATATGAAAAAAGAATTTATTTATTTTTGAGCAAAATACATGTATTTTTATTGTTTTTTTAAATGAGAAATAGTAAAAAGAATTATTGCCAAATTTTAAGTGTTTGTTTCAGTCTTTCGCAGATAAGACCTTTTCCAAATTGAAAAGCAGGGAAATTAGCTATAATTTTCTATTTTCTGTTACAGACAATGTCATTGTTGGAGCAAGAGAAGAGCACTCTGGCTGAAAAGAACAACAACCTGAACATGGATCTGGCCTCATCGAACGTGGAGTACGAACGTCTGAAGCGCGAGTATCAGTCACGACAGGAGCAGGACCGCACCAACATCAACGCCCTCAACTCTGAGCTCAAGAACTTCAGATCACAGTTTGAGGAGAAGTGGTAAGCCCTTGTTTTCCAGTATTTGTGTGAATAGTCCTGTCTTTTATAACCACTTCTACATTTCACCCTCAGTCAAATTTTGACATTTATCATGCTACAAAGAACTTGTTCTGAAAATGTATAAGCACAAAACTTCTGAGCAGTTCTACTCAAATTGTATGCCATGGAGAATAGAACTGGGTAGCTATATAAAGTTTGTTTGTTTCATGTAGTGAGTGCCACGAGAAGGAGGTGAAAGACCTGAACAATGCTATCCGTGACCTCGACCGCCAAAGAGAGGCTGCCCAGAGTGAGGTTGCTGAGCTGAAGACACAGCTCAAACTGGTGGAAGAGAATCGTGACAACATCCGCAGGGACCTCATTGATTCTAACAGGAAGATCAGAGAGGGTGAGAAACCATACCAGTTCGTTGTAATTTTGTAAAGGACAATAAAAAGGACACTTTAGAATAAAACTTCAGAATATATAAAATGATAGAATCACAAAAGATAAAAAACTAAGTTGTGAAATTCAGTAGAGTGCCTGATCCTCAGATTTGTTTTTAGTTTTGTTTACAAACTATGACCTTATAGTTTGACATTTCAGTATAAATGCTGACCTCATTTGACCTATGTAAACTTTGACCTTGATGTTACGTTTGTTGCACAACTAGTATGTTGGTTTGACCTCTGTATACATCCTTTGACCTTAATGTATAACCTTTGACCTTGATCCAACCTACCTGTTACAGGTGATGAGATCAGGGAGCTGATGAGGAAGGACATGGTCGAGCTGAAGAGGAACATGAATGATGAAATCCGTGAGAAGGACACGGTTATCAAGACAGCAGAGGAACTCCGCTCCACCGTGAAGAAGAATGAATGTGATAAGATTGATCTGAACAGGTCTCTTTGTGACCACAGACAGAGGGGAGCAGGTATGCATGATCTCTGAACTTGTCACTATTTATCATTTTCTGACCAAGTTTTATCATCTGCCAACTTCAACACTTGTTAGAAATGTGTCAATGCTTACAGCAAATAAAATCTGAAAAGGAAGGTTGAATTTAACAAAGTTAAATATAAAGTGGGTATATAGGTTAGAGATGCAATGGTAACAACTAAGTGGGGCAAAGAGTGTTGCAAAAATGTTCAAAAAATAAATCAAGTTTACTCAAAATGCTTTTAAGAAAAACAGCTTTTGGAGGTAATATTGGAAAATTCAGGTATTCAATTTTGCAAAGAAAATTATAATTTTAAATTAAAAATTGAATTCATTACATGAAAGATAATTTAAATAATTGATGAGTAAAATGTTATTTAAGAACAGTGACCTAGCCATTTATGTTATGTTCTAGTGTTGGAGGAACAAAAGGCTGTTGTTCAAAAGGAGGCTGGTGACCTGCGTTGCAGTCTGCGCGAGGTTGAGCGTGCTCGTTTGGAGGCTCGCCGTGAGCTCCAGGATCTTCGTCGCCAGATCAAGCTGTTGGACGGAGAGAGAAACAAACTTGGTAACGAGGTGTCTGACCTCCAAGTCAGAGTTGCCCGTGATGAGGAGAAGGAAGAGGAGGCTCGCAGACACTCGTTTGACCTCAAACAGAAGGTAGGTGTAGCTTACAGAGATGGAAGATCAGTATCCGTTGTGTTAACAGGGAATATAATGAAACAAAATTGACCAGTCTATATTAACAACTCTTGTTGACCCGGGTGGTAGCATCATAGGTTCTTGATGTGGGGGGTATACAAAGTACCAAGAGAAGACCAATAAGTTTGTACTGATGGAAGAACAGTAAATAGATAAGAAAGATGTGATATTTCTACCAAGGTCCCTTCTTAAGGAAAGTTGCATTTCAGAACACGTCAAGCATTGGGGCTTGGAAATATAAAATATCAAATACAAATTTGTTGTTTTTTCACCTATGTTATAATTAAAAGCGTTGTAAAGAGACACTAACTCTGTATGCTCCTCTCTGTATTAAGGTTGTGGAGACAGAGGCCAGCAGGGAAGTTCTGCGTAAGGAATTCGCCAACCTCCAACGCAAGATGGGTGAGCTTGCTGACGAAACACACCTGAAGGAGAAAGACTACCAGATGGCTTTGGAGGACAGTCGCCGTTCTGAAAAGAAACTCGAGGACCGCTCACATAATCTGGAAATTAGCCTGGAGCAAACTGGCGCTGAAGCAGCTGAGCTGAAACTGAGGCTTAGCGGTGCTGAGGGTCGCGTCAACGCCCTTGAGGCAACCCTGGCCAGGCTGGAGGGAGCCAAGCGTGATGTTGAGTTCAAGCTTAGCAGCATTGTGTCCAGTCTGCGCAGGACAATTGGATTCCGTCAGGAGATGCCACGTGCACGCAGCCCAACCAGGTCACGTACACCTAGCCCCCGCAGGTCCCGACCTAATTCACCCACCAAAGGTAATTTTGTACTACATGTACAAGCTTACTTCATGAAAAGTTTGACTTTGATGAATATGAGAGAGACAAAATGTTCATGGCATTGTTAAGTGGTAACCAATATGTGTGGTTAATTTACCTTCTTTTTGTTTCATCTTGATTTTATTTTTTAGCCAATTAATTGTTAAGGTTTGATAAAGACAAGATTATGAAAAAAATAGAAAAAAAATAATTTGGATAATATTAACTTTACATTTACAAATAATTGTGAAAACAGTTTTTTTTATTTGTGAAAACAATTTTACATGGCCCTATCGTGGTGTTCGTAATTGTAATTGTAATTGTCTAGGTCTGTGATAGAATCTGATGTGGTGTTCTCTCTGTTACAGGTTTTGAGAGCACTTACTCCACCACCACAGAAGGACGTGGCAGTCCCATCCCCAGGACTGGATCCCCAGAGCGTATGGGTAGCCCGACCCGCCTTGGCTCCCGCGGAGCCTCGCCCAGGAGGCTGGAGTACTCTCGTGAGGTGGCTCCACTTGACGTGGATCCTGAGGCAGTCAGGATGGCTCTTAGGGACTTCGTACAGCAGCTAGCCGGAGCCGAGCGAGAGAGGGTAAATCAATATTTTAGCTCACCTGCCAAGACTCAAGGATTGTTTCCAATATATGTAATTTGATCATGTTAACTCCAGAAAATATATGTACAATGATCGTGTATTTAAACTGAAGTCTCTTTGATTGTATCAAATATATGTGAGCTGGGAACCTTCTAAACAGCTACCTGCATCGGATTATATTCATTGATAACCAGAAAACCTGTGATTATATCTTGTACTGTATACTGGAAATTTTGGCCGTAGTTTAATTTTTGTCTTTTTCGACCTTTGCAATGAGGGCGAATTGATCATAGCGGTGAATTAAGAAAACAGCATACCCTATATAGTTATTATATGTTAAGGGCGAAATTAACACTGCGTGAACATAGATTTTACCAGTGAAGGGAGAATATATTACTGGCAAAAATTTCCCATTATGCAGTATTTAAAAGCTGGATAGCTGCAGAACTGTATCCTGTATGCACAAGCAGAATACTATCTGATTTTAGCTCGTATGTATATGCTTAATACCATGTACTTAATTGTAGCTTGTGTATTATCTTATTGTACTCCTGTTTATAAGCTGAATAGCCTCTAAACCCTGTGGTTTTATGTTACAGGATGATACCATCCAACAGAACCGTTCCCTGGCTACCCAGCTGAGAGAGATTGAGGAGGAACGCGAGAGGCTTGAGACCAGACATGGACAGCTCCAGAAATCTCTGGGAGAGGTTGAAGAAGGTAGATAACTCTTTTTAAATGTCACACTCACTTCCGTTTTCTTCACCATTGTTATCATCCTCATCATTTCATTGTTCACTGATCCTTGAAAAAAAAATATTAGAAAAATTCTTACTTATTAATTGTATAAGATTTGAAAATAAGATACCAGTTTCTATATCAATACCCACTTGAAATAACTAGTTGATGATAAAATTTTGATTTAAGAAAAGTTATTCCTCAACAAAGTTTGATCAGCAAGGTTTGATCAGCAAGATTTGATCAGTGATCGCTTAATGACTGGCTCAAGCTTAGACTTTGTGTGACATTTTTTCTCACATGTGGTTAACTTGCTTTGATTGTGTTTGACTGCTTTTATATGTAGTATGGTATATGCTAATTGGTCTGGAGTCTGGAAGGAAGCTGTATTAGATTTTGTGTTTTATGATTCCTGATACAAACTCATTTAAACCTTTGTGTCAGGGTATGATGGTAGGGGTCACTACACATTGTATTATAATTGTAAGTATATTGTAACTCAGGTGGCTGATATAGCTCTCTGGCTGCTGGTGTAAGTGTACATATGTATAACTGTCTAATATTATAGCAAAGGAGGCTGAATGGATCTATTTTGTGTGGGACAAAGTTAACCTGTCGACTGACATGAATGGGGACTGATAGATTTGGTGGGATGACACAATTAGTTCATAAACCTGTCTATAATGACATCAAGGGTGTTTGAATCATTTTAGTAGGATAAGACGAGGCAGCAAACCTGTCTCTATAACGATCATATCAGAAGGGGCCTGAAATATTTGATGGAATAATATGACAGTTTCCGTAAAAGTAGGAAAAAGATGAGGTAAAGAGTCTTTTAGAGTCAGATAGTGTAACATCATGTAAGGAAAATACTAGAGGATGTCTTCAGAAAAGTTGCTGGTTTGTTCAGGTTGCTCTTTAGATCAAGTTCCTGCAGCATGTGTCTATGTATTTTGTATTTTGTAATATCTGAAAAATCAGCATGGTAACTATCTGAAGCATTTTATGTTTAAATGGTTCAAAAGATTTCCATACAATAGCATTTACAGACATGCTGTTTAAGTTTTATGGTGAATAGATTTATCCTTTATTGTGTCTATATCAATGAAGGGAATTGTAATGTCTGTTTTCTGTTTCGTAATTAACGATCTAAGCATGAGCCTTTCACATCACTAACATTCATCCTTCATGTATTCCTCTAACAACATCTACATATTCTATTTTGAAGCTTGAATGTGTCTCATTTAATTATCTGTGTCTGACTTCTTTTTTCTGTAATTGAGAACATTTCTTGAATAAGTGCAGAAAATAATTTTTGTTTTGTGATTTTTTTTTATCAATTTTCAAAATGTAACAAATGAAAGGGTCATTTATTTTTCAGCAGAAATGTTGTTCAATCCCATTTTAGGACCAATTCACAATAAAACCTATTTAGCATTAATTCAAGAGTTTTAACACTGTAACATATAATGGAAGGGTAGACAACTCTAGCTATTTCATTTGACAGCAGTGGGCAAAATTAAGATATGTAGGTATCTGAGATAACAGTAATAACAAATCTATGTGAATTCAAGTAAGTACATGTGATAAACAATATACAAAGGTAATAAAGTCTTAAGTTTACTGCACTTCCTTTGAACCGACCAGAAATGACGGGGTCACCAGTTTGTACTCTGATGCTCTCTGGGGGTGCCAGGTTACCGAGTGTTAGGAAGTGTCAAATAACCCCCACACAAGCAATCCTGTCATTTCTTCACGCATATATTACCCCAGTATTACCTTTTAGTGTTTTATTTGATGTGTGTACTCAAGGTCCTCTTTTAAGTGCCCACCATGAATATTTGCATTTATCTTTTGACAAGAGATACAGTACTAGTAGATCATAGGAAAATTTGATTTCAATCTTTCAAAACTAATCGTTATTCAAATATATTCAATTTTATAATATAAATAAATAACTAATAAACTTGGAGCCATGTTGACATAAATAGGTATTATTGACTATTAGAAATGATTATGTGTCCCCATGTACATGCTTATCTAACAGGGACTGATAAGGGGCTAATTCACTGACGGCCAATTATGTACTGACCACGGCCAATGTTTAAATCCCGAATGACCACTAACATATCCTGACCATTGTTAACAGTGTCAGGACCTTGATTTAGAACTGATCCGAGTCATTAAGTTACTCATCATAAAGTCGGCCCAGAACTATATAAAAGGGCATCAAAGGGTTATTGGATTTATCACAAATCCCCCCGGTGTCCTGTGCCAGAAATTCAATGATAATTTATCTCAGATAAAGGGTTAATATGATTTTTTTTTATCAAATTTCCTTCCATTCAAATAAGCTGCAACAATAATTTGGAGCTTTTCAATACTGGATTTCAATTGGTTTAATAAAATTAAGTTGAATATTTTTATTAATCAAGTGAGGTTGAAGCTAAATTTTCAGCACTATTTAAGTAAATCTATTATAAAAAATATTGATTTATCTAGAAGCATCAAATTATGAACGTATATTATGTTAATATATATATACATGTATATCATTATAGTCAGTAATTAAGGGATGTAATAGGATGCAAGATTTCTAAATGGATCTGTGAAGGCGGAAACATGAAATATACATTTGTCATTTGTTTGGTCATGTCACATACATATTGGAATTGATCCTGGGCAAGTTTTCGTTTGAATATGTGTTGTGACAGGACGTAAGAAAAGAGAAGGTCTGGTGATTGTAATATTACCTCAGGTATTCGACAGAATAGTGGCGCACAGAAATAATACTTTCAAGTCAAGTGTGTACCTGGGAATAAAGAAATGTATCTGTGAAATCTTTTTATGAAGACTAAAAGCAAAGTTTAAAAGGTTGAGTTTTTACAGGTGATTTAAATACCTGAATATTGCATCAAGTTTCAACAAATTTTGAATTTGAAAAAGAAACAAAATTTAACTTTACACAGGGCCAGAATATAATTCTATACACTTAAATAGATTTTTTAAAATTAGCATGAATTTATGGGATAGCTAATTGATTTTTCTTGGCACCAGACAATTTGTAACCTGTATAATTAGATGTTTGAAACATGAAAAAGCTTGTAAGACGTTGAATTGACATATTTGTAATGACAATCATTCTCCTGGTATATGACCTGGGGACCGATTTAAATGAAACACAGTTTGTTATATAGACAGGGCAACCCAGTCACGGTAATGGCTATAAATCAACATTTACAACGTAATGAATAGCTGAATTGAAACCCACAGCATTTCATTGTGTTTAAAATACACAGAGATGTTAGAATTATTGACATTGTTACTGTAGAGGTACCTCCAGTAGTGGTAAATGGCCGGCCCTTTAATTCTTTATAGCATTACAACGAAAATGGCCTCGCAGCGGACAAAAGTCCTGCAATGAAAAACTTTCCGCTCAGCCAAATTGTGGACTAGATACTTGATAAGATTTAATACCCAGGTCACATGATAAATGTCCAAGTAATCAGATTTTTTGTCAGCACTACATGCCGGCCCGAATGTTTACTGTGAGGTACTTGATCCTATTTTTATCTATACAACCGAGAGATTAGGTAAAGCTCGTCTTTTATTGGGACTTAAGACTGTAGATACCAGGTGTATCGTATGTATCAGATCTGTGTATTCCCTCGCACAACTCTGACATGTCATAACCTGTGAAAAAAATTCCTCTCCGCGATCAATATCTCAGGCGTAGGGAGTGATTGAGTGTGGCCGATTTGTTGGTGTCACGCTGTGTACATTCCGGCAAGCATGGCAGCATGTGTGTAGGAATCACGGTGGCTGTATATCCTCAAACTTAGAAACTCTTGAGTGGGGGGGTATGCCATACACCCCACGTGGAGGGCCCCGCCCACTTGTGTTCTGTCATCAGTTTTCAAGCACTTTCATGTCTCGATGACATTAGCCGGGATGGCCTACAGAATATATATGCCACCGGCTAACTTGTGTTCGAAGCAGCCGAAGCCTTCATGTGATGTGATTTGTCTTTCCGCTTCACCATCTCTGTCTTCGTACATACTCGACAACAGTGACAATGGTTAGTTCTAGAGATTTGATATAGAAAGTGATTTAAATAAGCACTAATGGTATTATCACCTGTCAGTATAAATGTGTGGTCGTCAGTGTTTTGGACTGTGGAGTAGTGATCCTGTCAGTGAGAGCTACAATGGTATCTGGTAGAAGTTGTCCCCAGGTACAATGACCGGGCATATAAACGCTTGTAGAACGTCTCTCTCTCGTCAGAAAAGTGAATGCTCAAGGCATAATTCTTTTAAACTTTTCAACTTCAAAGAGTGCATTGTGTATTCAAACAGTGGATTTACTGTAATAGGCTTAATTAACATGACCACTTCAGCAGTGTTAGCTTATAATTGATCGCTTCACAATGGAAGTTTGCAGCTGTATTGTAAGGTTTCTTTGAATTGGTAGCAAATAATGTAATATTCGTTATTACATATGTCAGCAGAATCTTTTGTACATATATCTACTTATTCACAGGTGACAAAAAATATTACTTTAAATCTTGTTCATTTAAACAGAGATAAGTGCCAGAAATGTATAATGAAGAATAATTAAAACTTAGGGTTTCATCCTATATTTTTGTTTTTAGATTATTACATATTTTCAGTCTTAACAATTGTTTTTATTTAAATGGAGTTATTGCCCCTTGAGTAATTCTGATTGGCATCTGTTTTACAAGAATTATATATTCTATATATTTGTATTTGAAGTTTTACAATAGCCGTAGAAGTTTGTGAGACCTAAAGAGGAGATTTTATTTCAATGTTCTACTGATATTTCACTTGAATGTTGACATCAATCAAAGACTTTGTGAAAATACACATACCAAGCCTCCAGTCAGTTGTCAAAGGTGTATCTTATTCCCCAATGGTATTGTGTAAACTCTACAGTGTGTTTGGTCAGTTTGAGAAACCCGAGTTCCCGTTGTTACTTACTATAAAACTGTAGGTATGCTCTTTGTTTGTCGTTAGATTAAATACAAATACGTTTTAAAATCATTTGGTCTTAATGACATAACAGACATTCATTGTACTGGTATTCATGTCCGGTTCAAGTTAAATGGCAAACCTCTTTCGTGACATTTAAACCTTGATATCTTACTATAGGTAATGTGTTTAGTGGGGACTGGTATCTTACAAGGTTTTACATGCTTGTAGACCTAAAACCTGATGGAATGTGACATGATTTGTCGGTCACGTTTTTATGGTGACAATTCATTTCCTTTCTTATGTGAGAATTGTTTATCTTACAGAACCCATTAAACAGATTCCCCGGGATTTTTGCATCTCCATCCATTACTTTGATAATCAGTTTAATATGAAAATAAAAACCATACAATATTGTTGTTAGAATGTCCTTATTAGTTCTGTATGATGATATTCTAATAAGATCGTTGGAATCCTTTTTTTTAAACACCGTTGTATTTTCTGTCCAGATAAACGTGGAATTGATGGACGTCTTGCCAGCGCCCAGACAGCCCTTATGCTGCAGGAGGAGACGATCCGTCGTAATGAGCGCGACCGAAAGACAATGTCTGACAAGATCCTTGCCTTGGAGCGCACTGCGGCAGCTAGCGAGACCGAAAAGAGGCAGCAACAGGTAACGGAACCCTTAGGTTAAATTATACAATATTCAGGTGGATAAATAGTTCAGTCAAGCTGGTCCAAATTCGGAAGTGATCAGTTTCCAAGTATTGTTAACCGTTTCCAGTTACTTGAATAAAAGTCCTTTTAGCATTGATGAACTGGCAGGCAAACGATTTATAAAAGCATTGTTGATAAAGAAGGTATATAAGATTTGAGGATGTTCTTGAGTGAAGGTAAACAGTTCTGGTGAGTTAAATGTTTTCAATAATTAAATTTCAGTTAAAGAAAAACACTTTTCAAAAATCAAATAACGTGATAGAATTATGAAAAGATTTCATATTGTTGTTGATTGTTTAGTTTTATACATTGTTCCAACCATGAGGTTATGTAACTTCAATCGATCAATATGAATTTTCAAATATGGCACGGTATTTAGAATTTGTTAGCTAATAAATCTGTCCCTGAGATTTACCTGTGGATTATATGTGGCTACCTGTTACTGTGTCAAAACAGATGGTGATTCCATGCATTGTTTAGCACCTACCTCATCAATTATTGACAACTCGGCCAGGTTTACCTGTCAGCTGGCACTAATCAATAGAGGTCCCCCTATGTGTACAGTGAGCAGTAACTCTGAGCCTGTATAATACATGTTAGTAGAACTCATTATCAGACCTGTGTAACAGCCCCTTTTGATTGGTTGATGTATAGATGCTGTACCTTTCGATTGGTTGTTGAGTAGATGCTGTGCCTGTACACATGCACTTTTATTGATTTGTGTTTCCCGGCTATATATGGTGTATTAGAAGGCATATTATGAACAGGAGATTTGCAATTAAATATTTCTTTGAAGTCGAATAATCAGAAAATTTGCTGTGCAGATTTACAGTCACTTGGGATTGGCTATGTATTTATTTCTGTAATGACTTTATCTGCCAGTAATATGTATAGAGGAGAGGTCAACCATGTTGCAAATCAGTTCTAGTGGCTGACAAGACTAAAGTGAACGTACAGATGCTAAATTATAGATAAACGTCTTAAATTCATAAAAAGACTTCCCATTAAAAAGTAGTTTAAAAAGTAATTAATCATAGACTCAAAGTTATCATGTAAGCTTGTTGTTCACTTCTACCTTTTGGAATACTAATGCATAAAACAAGATCCTGCTTAAAAAATCTTTTGAACTTGATCACTTTCATTTAGTATTTGTCCAGAGGAGATCAACCAATTTGAATTTACTGTACAATCTGCTATTTTCTACTCAGTTCATTTTCACAATTACTTAATTTTCCATCATTTCATATCTAAACAACTGATAATGCCCTATGAGCTTGACCTTTTTTCAAGAAGATTATACGCTCTAAGTATAGTTCACATTGATTTTTAGATTGTTCGTGAGTTTGAAATGACCTTTGAACTTAATTGCAGGAGAAGGTCGCCAAGATGAAGCAGACAGAGGGCAAGCTTGAGGATGACAAGAAGGGACTGAGGATGGCCCTGGATGAGGCAGAGAACAGGTGCACCAAGCTTGAACTGTCTCGTCGCTCACTCGAGGGTGAACTTCAGCGCTTCAAGCTCGTCATGAATGACAAGGAGACCGAAAACCAGGTAAGGAACCACACTTAAAGGGGGTTATCGACTCTCACACATCTATGACCGGGTATTAAACAACGTGTAGCCGAATCAAATTGTTTGGTTTGACTCGTCATTTTGTACATGTATAACAACTAAATGTACATATGCCTATAGCGTATCAGAATCAGGCTGATTTTTACATTTTTGTGTACATATGCTTCACTGGTCATTTGTCTGATGAAGATGACAGGATTCATAACATACTAATCATCAAAACGTCACACATAAACACTTACTGGTTGTGATACATAACCCTTTCTTCAATAACATTGGGTAAGGTTACAATTAATAGACATACATGTTTATCTACAGGGAAACAAAAAATAACCGAGTAAGGTGTATTATGCAGTCATACAATTACATTCGTTCATTCAATTTTCAAAATTGAAAAGAACGGAAGAAAAAATATTCTTACACAACAGTTAATGAATCTCTGAGTATTTCTTCAATGCATTATTAGGTAGAAAGTTGTAAACAACAAAAAAAACACCAAAACAACTGGAGGAAATTGAAGCTAGTTCCTGCTACAAATACTATTCTCCCTGAAGGTACCTATGTTACCAAATGGACTGGTCTAGATATGAACAAAGACTGGTCCAATTCAATATCATGAGGATGTAAGGTTGTTATAGATGTTTAACCTTCAAATTTGCTGTTAATAGTACTATAAAATACACTGTAATCCCCTAGGGGAGACAACTACAGGTAACCTTAATCATGCAAGTGATGAATAAATAATGAAATTGGAGTTTGGTGTTAGTGTCGGAGTCACATCAAGGTATTGATGAGGGCTTGGCCATATGTTTCACATGTGTTCAAGACAGAAAGATTGCTTCTTTGTGGAGATAGGTAGCAGTTGATTGAAATGTTCTGGGACTTGACGCGGGGCTTTCTCTTGGAAAATTGAGGATTGTGGTCATACAGTGTTTCAGGGTTAAAGAAGATTCGTCTTATCTGTGTATTGTGAAAGTTAGTTGGATGCCTTATCAAGTCAGTGGAAACATATAAAAAATTGAGATTTTATTTCTTTCTGAAAAGAAAAAAATGAACAAAATGCGACAAGAATGTCAGAGTGTTGACAATCAGTCTGTCGTGTCACAGAAATCAGACAAAAACTCTGTGAATGGGACAAATCATCATAACAAGGGATCAGTCTCGCTACATGTGGAGGATGATGTAAATGGTGAAAAATGTAATTTAGAAAACACAGGCGGTAGCGGGAATGGGTCATCTTCTGTATTGTCTAGAAAGTCATTGTCATCGTCTGTATCGTCTAGAAAGTCATCGTCGTCATCCTACATTGACATGTACAAGACACACATGGAAAGTCAAAGCAGAACGGAAGAACCACACGCTGTAGAAAAGGCACAAATAGACTCAAATATAAAGGAGAAACAACAAGAAGATATAGAAAAGGAGTCAAATGTTACAGGAAACAAATCTGAGAAAAAACAGAAAGTGAAACAGCCCATGTTGGACATCATGTTTAAACATTTAGGAAAGGATAAGTTTCAGATGGTTTTAGTTGACAGTGGTGACAAATCGTTTTCAGAAAGCAAAGTTGTAAAGGTGAGGAAAGTATTTATCAAATGTCGTATTTATTACCAGAAACAGTGGTGCAGTAGTCAGTATGCCGCTGCATCACAATGAAGGGGGTGTAAGCTTTTCTGTATGCGTGTCTGTTCACTAAACAGTCAACAAACTTTAGACGTGGATACAGCTTGAGGAGTAATGTATCAATCAAGTTGTGTTCTTCATATTCACTCCTGATGTTTCATAATGGACTATTCCAACCTTTGAATTGGAAGAGTTCAAATGTGTCTTAAGGGGTGAATGAATTAAGCTGGTCCTTTTGTTAAGGTGACCATACTAAGGGTTACACGGTTGTGTGTTTATATAGGTTCTCCAGGACCGTGTGGATTGCCTGGTGAAACAGGTGCAGGAACTTGACTCCAAGGCGCAGTCCCTACAGCTGACCATTGACCGCCTCAGTCTGGCCCTCGCCAAGGTGGAGGAGGAGGAGTGCTCTCAGAAGGACAAAGTGAGTGATCTCCCCTGATTTTATATGTTGTACAGTTATCATATATGTTAAATGCTCGTCCCATGACAAAAGTTTCACATATTTGTACCATATACACGGGAAAATAATTTGTCTCTATATACTTTGTGTTTGTGGTTCAGGGGCATTTTGATGTTCTTTTTATTATAGATCACACCCCGGATATATTCAAAGCTACATTGATGTTTATTCTATAGCTTCGAACATTTGATATAAGATACCAATATTTCTTTCTCCAGGTTCAGGCCTTGAACATGACTCTGTCAGACACCAACGCGACCATCAGCGAGCTCCAGGAGCGTATCTCTCAGCTGCAGCGTGCATTGACCAGCAGTGAGCATGATCGTCGTGTCCTCCAGGAGAGACTAGACACAACCAGGTCAGGGTTGAACGAGGCCAAGAAACAGAACCACAGCCTTATGGAACGCTGCCAGGGCATGCAGAATGACATCTCTGACACAGAGGTCAGAAGGTCAGAGGTTGAAGGTCAACTCAGGCAGTCACATACTGTAAGTATGAAAGGCAGAGATATGATTTATTTATAAGTAATTATGTATCACCTGAGAATTTCACACCTTTTGTTCATCTTTAAAAACATGGGTTATAGCTATTCTTTGTGTGAATAAGCACTCATTGTGTGTGTTTCCGTTATCCCTTGTAGATGCTTGTTCAGAGACAAGAGTCTGAGCAGGAACTCAACCAGACCATACAGAAGATCCAGCTCGAGAAACAGAGTCTACACGAACGGGTTCAGGGGTTGTCTCGACAAATTGCTGCCATGGAAAATGAAAAGCACAACATTGAAAGATCCCAGATTAGACTGGAAAAGGACAAGTCAGCCCTGAGAAAAACACTGGACAAGGTAGGTCAAGGTCATAGAGATCAGGTGATAGTTCTCATAGGTTATTGCTTCAGGTATTTTACTGGGGGGTTTTCCCCCCGAAGTCTGAAGTTACTTTATATTGATCGAAGACATATACTTAAGGAAACTGTAATAATAGTGACTGTTACAAGTGAATGATTTACAAACTTTTAATATAAACAAAATGTAGAATGAACTGTTTATATTTGACACTAAATGTGGTATTTTATACTCATTTTTCATAATTAAGGCAATAAAAAAAAAAGATTTACATGCCATACATATATTTCATGGCTTTGCCGTATTTCTTTTTGAAGAAATACCAGAAAGCAATGCTTTTATTTCCTCAAACTCTTTAAACAATGTTATTTACTAACAGGAGATGGCATTAAATGTGAGTATAGACATAGCCAGGACATTACTGATATTTAGACATAGGCTCCACACATCACTAGCTTGGCAGTATATGGCTAAAATAACAGGACTCAACACTGTGTTTTTAAGTATGCCATGCCTGACTGATTTCTGTGTTGTTGCCAGGTCGAGCGTGAAAAGCTGAGGTCTGATGAGATCGCCAGTAAGACTGTCTTGGAACGGTCTACTCTTGACCGCACACTGGAAAAGCTGGATGAGGATAACATTGACATGCAGAAGCAGTGTCAGCAACTCCAAGCTCAGCTGGCAGAATCTGAACAACAGCATGCCCAGAGGTAAGGGGCGCAACTCTTTGAAGGGGAGACCACTCCCACAAGTACTCTTACATCATTTAGAATGGACTTCACGATGTGACACATGAAAAGATTTCAGAAATGATTGTTGAAAGGTTTAGAGATTTCAGAAATAATTCTTAAAAGGTTTTAAGATCTTTGAAATAATTATTGAAAGGTTTAGAGATTTCAGAAATATTTGTTGAAAGTAAAGAGATTACAAAATTACTTGTTGATAAGAAATTTGATGAAAAATTGATTGTTTGTTACATTGTAATGTAAATACATTGTACATAATTATGTATGAACGAGAAAAAAACAAATAAGCTGGCTTATTCAGATATAGATTTAGTGTTCTTCTCTTGTATAAGATATTTTTGGGAAAAGTTTTTATTTGTATAATTAAATTATTTTGAAATATAAGTAAAAATGATATCAGCTTGATAATTTTTCTGTCTTCTTCTTAAATTTTCGGGACGAAGATGTAATGTGTTTAGGTTACAGTTGTGGATTTTTTTTGTTTTTGTTAGAGACAGTATTTTTATTTTCCTATTATGGTCTTGCACTGTTAGTGTGATTTTTGATTACGAGAATTGGGTTTATTCTGTGTGGTGAATGCCCCATTTTCCTTGTTTTACTAATCAGACTTAACGCTGTACACCAGTCACATATTCGAAGGTGTGTATATAAGGAGCTGTCACCCCTATTGTACACAATAAACCAGACCAGAACAGATGGTGGTCATTCTATTGTGAACATGGAGGGTGGTCAGGCTATAACCCTAATATTGTTCTCACCTACCTCAACCTTATCAAACGTTATTCATTTCTTGATATTTGTACAATTTATCTCAAATTTTGTAGGAAGAGTATTTTTAAAATTACTTTAATGGCATTTTAAGATAATAGTATTTGTTTTTCTGTTTGAGATTTGTAATTCGTTACTGCATAGTTCCCCATTTACAGTATTCATGTTTCGGTTCTAGCTTTACATCAACCTCCATGTCTTATAAGTATCGGTATGACAACCAAAAATGTCAAAGTTTTTGTATTTTTAGTTTGATTTATTTTTATAATTATGTTATATTTTACAAATCTCTACAATATTCCCTATAGGAATGCTTTAAAATAAGAAAATGAATATTGTTTGAAATCAACACTGATGTCTTACCTATATATATAAACTATTTATCAATTACTGAATCATTGTAACACCAGTGAGATATATTTACCTGTTTAATACCTGTCACTGTAAATGGCTAGCTTATATATCCTCCATCCATCCTGTATTACAAAATGTACTACATCTTATATAATATACCAGAGCTCAGGTGGTGGAACTTTCCTGTGTTGTTGTATTCATGCAATATATTCTTAATTTAAAGTAAATTCAAAAACTTATAATAATTTTGATTTTTTATATATAGAATATTTTCAACATGAATATGAAATATTTAAAGAAAACAGACAATTATAATCTTAGACAGAACTAGCATGATCTAATAATCTTTGTCAAAGCATGTAAAAGAAAACCATAGTCTCGCTGTACACACCCAGTTTATTTGCATATTCATGATACGCAAATTAGTAAATGAATTTTCCTAACATATGCATGTGTTTAAGATTAGTTTAGATATATGTATCAATATAATCGATCATTATAAAGAAATGATGTTTATTAATCTTAATACTAATTCATCTAAATACATATGATAATGTGAGAATAGTCATTTGGATTATTCATTTTTAAAAATAATTCAATCCTGATAGTTTGTCCATAATGCTTTAATGTTTACACTCCGAGATATCAAACCCTTAACAGCTACAATTGAAAGCTCATCAGTCTGATATAAGTAATTAATTTTGTCACACTTTATATTTGAAACTAATCATTTGTGCATAACTTATGATACTATTTTGCACACACTCATATAAGTCTATTTGTATATAAATATACCAGTATATCCTAAACAGCTCTCAGATAGTTGTATAACACAGTATTCACAGCTAAGATTTTTTTCTCTACATACAAACACTATACAAGGTGAGGGCTGCAGTATATGTATCTATTACCACATGCATGCTGTAAACCCTGACCATTGACTTCAGACTATTTTCATCTTTTTTGCTTTTGTTACAAAACTGTTATCCTTTTTTCTATGTGTTATGCTAGAAAACAGTGTCAAACCATGGGTAACTCTTCAATAGTATCTTTAAGAGTGTTGACAATTTCTATAGTAGTTCAGTAGACAGTGCCTATTTTAAGGGTGACTGTTTTTTGAGGATTTTATTTTTAACTGTTTTACTTAAATTTAAAACAAGGAGAACTCTAACTGTAAGGCCAGTTGTGTCTGTGTTTTCTACAATAACTGAGACAGCTATACTATGTACGTTAGGTTAATTAGGGCTAATTTGGTGTGATACTAATAGACTAACATTTGTTTGTCCACGCTTCAGACTGATCGACCTGACGACACGTCACCGTGCCGAGACAGAGATGGAGACAGAGAGACTGAGGTCCGCGCAGCAGCAGGCTGAGAGGATGCTGGAGGCCAGAGAGCGTGCCCACAGACAGAAAGTGAAGGGACTGGAGGAGACTGTAAGTTCACATGTCAAAATATCAGTCCAGGATAATAAAACAATCTACACTGATGTCCAAAATTTAATGTTACCTTATTGTACAACACCACATCAAACTGTGATAATGTATTCTTTGACGCACACTTGTGGTAATATATATATACATGTGAATTATTTAATAAAACTGAAGTTGGACTTGACTTCATGAGAAATATTTGTTTTTTGGGTAATTAAAATCTGGACTTAGTTTAAGACTGTTGAATTATTCCTGGGCAAGGTCAGTTTTTGATGAATGGTTGATTCTAAATGAGTGTTTACATATATAATGATAATAAAATGACGTCGAAAATTAGTAACTCATTTTGAAAAATAAAGAGAAATTTGTCTGATGAAGGTGACAAAGTATAATATCGTGCTACACATCGAAACGTCGCACATAAACACTACGCTGGGTGTGCTTCAATAATCCTTTCAACAATCCATATTTACCAACTTGAAGAAAATGTTTCGGAAAGAAAAAAGAAATATTCAGAGTAGTATTATTCATTTGTTTAGTCGTATCTTCTATAAAGGCAAATTTGCAGATAAATATATATTTAAGCTAGTTTTATTGCTAATTAATAGTCCCTGTGTTGTTAGGAACACGCTTTGCTATTTCCCGTAATTCTGATGCTGATTTTGATGCTGATTTTACTTACAGGTGTCTACCCTGAAGGACCAACTTTCCACCGAGATGCGTAAACGTCAGCAGTACATTTCGCGCAGCAGCCGTACTGGTGACGAAATCAGAGACATCAGAAACATCCTTGACGGCTCCCTGTCTGCCGTCACCCGTGACCCAGACCTTGACCCCCTGCTGTTGGAGACTGAGACTCGAAAGCTGGACGACTCCATGGACTTTCGATCTACGTCACCCTATCCCTCACGTCAGACTCCTCGTCGGCGTAGTCCAGGCCGCGTACGCTACGGCAATCAGACATCCACCCCCCTCAGACGGAGCCTCAGCCCTTCATCTCTCCGCAAAAAAATCCAGCAGAAACACTAATAACGCACACTACTGCCTTGGACAGCCTATAGACTATTGGTTGGTCATGTAGGAAGCGAGTAAAAGAGCTACTTTGGCGAGAACAGATGTTCATTATCACGAGGGAACTATGCAACATCATTTTTTTAAGAGAACAATCGGAGAAAAACTGTTTGGATTTCTTTTTGTGAGTTAGAGTAAAAGAAAAAATGTTGATTTGCATGGAAAATATTATTTATATTTCAAATCTCATTCCAATTGCTTCAGAACATTCCCATCTGTATTACCAGCATTAGATAAGTTATTTATAAATCGGTGTGTGACAGCTTACGGAGAATATGGCAATGGACAAGAACAACAGTTTTGTACTATCAAGTAACAGGTGATTTTACAGTTATATCGTATCATGTAGGTATTTAATTAGCTAGCTGTGAGAGGATACATGTATATGTTGTTATAGGTATATAGATATATTACATAATATTTATTTTATGAATAATTCACACTATTTTTATTATCATAAGTGTCCATTTTTAAATGGCAATGTGGCAATTTGTGTTGTTGTTGTTTTTTTTTTTGCGTGGGGTTACAAGGTTAGCATAGTGACCAAAGTTTTTCGGTAATTGACTGAATTATCTTTGTGTTTGCTGATGTACGAGCGGAAGAAATCAAACTATATTTACTAGACTAGTGTTTATAGTACTATATGTGTTTACCGTGAGGTATCAGTATTATTTATACCATTACTATGATTGGTGTGCTACCAACCTCACTGGGACCAAGTTCTTCAAGACCTTAATAGCTTAACGTTGTACGCAAAATGTTGATCTACGACATTGTCATATAGATTGAAATAAAAATTAAAAAAAGAAAAAGTATAGATTGAAATAAAAATTTAAAAAAGAAAAAGAAAAATAGAATTTCATCTATAAATTTTCAAAATAATGAAACCGGGAAACAAATGTAAATATTTAGACTTTTTTTTTTTTTTTTTTTTTATTTGCGTTAATGACACGTTAAGCTAGTAAGACTTTGATCAACTCGTCCGAGATAAATTACACTGCTGTGATATCTATACGAGTGTGGATGTTGTTGTTATTGTTGATAGGTACTTACACTTATTAATAGTGGGAATTTGTGAGGTCATTTGGATTATGTTTTTAATATTCTCTGCAGTAGAGCGGCCAGATTAGTTCTAATCACGTCGTTATGGTTTGGGTCCCCAGCTAAAAGTGTTTATAACCATTATGAAAACCAAGGAACATTGGCATTTATGATCTGATGTTACTTTTAACAAAGTATTTCATTGGTCAGCAACATAATGCTACTTGTGATGTTACGGCTCATTGGTCAATAATGTTATTGATTTTTTTTCCTTGTTGAACTTTAACCTGTTTGATGACTTTAGCCATATTTTATTTAGCATGCATAGATATATGCTTTACTTAACTAGATTTGTTACAAATCAACTTTAATTATAATTTTTTGTGATAATATATATGTACTGGCCCTTCCTCCTAGCTGTCGACATGTGAACTGACTCAAAGAACCAAATTACACGTCTAGTGTGAATGCATGGGGTGGAATTTTTTTCTGTGATATATTTTTTTTCTTGAAAATTCCACCCCCTATAGCCACAATGAGATGGCCACATGAATGAAATAGTCAGTCCATATTTGGCAGTGGGGGAGGAAGGGTGTGGCCCCCGGGCCGTTGTTAGTGTGTCAGAGTAGATGTATTTACACATGGGGAAGACGTTTATTATTATAAGCAGCTGTGATGAGTTACTCCCTCCACTCGGGATCTGTAGTTGATGGTCAAGTCAGTAGATATCAGCATCCGTCCAGACAACTTTTGTATCAGTTTTTTTTTATCACAAGCTTGTTTGTTTTGCCGTTTTGCTATAATAGTTATAATAATTTCTACATATTGGAGGAAATCCATATTTTTTTTCTTTCTAGAATTTTTATGTGGAGTTCCTCACTGATCACGCTGTGACCCACACTGTCTGTATTTTTCTCACAAACAAATGACATGAATAAAACGTGTGCATGCCATTGAATTGGATGTTTCTGACTTGTGTATTTGCGGTCACTGGAACTACATAACTACAGGCCAAAACAGAATGGAAGACAACATGAAAACACTGCACATCATCAACTGAACAGTTACATGTATAATTATATATATATAATGCTTTGTAGGTTTTCATATCTATCTTGAGAAGTGAATTTGCAATAATTATTACACTTTTTTTCACATCAGTAGATCCATTGAAAATAGATTAAACTTGGAATACTTCTTTTTGGGGTAAATATTGGTCTATAAGTTATAGGACTTTACACTAGCAAAAATGCTAAAATGTTCTGTTATTTCTTACTGCAGTTATCTCCCTTATTTTCATTTTTTTCTTTCTCATTTACTATCATTAGTAAATAACAAAGTATAAACTACTATTCATTAAAAGCGGTTTAGTTTTCTTAATTTGGATATAATTCGGGACAGAGGTTAATATCGTAGTGAGGGTTTAGAAAGTTAAGGTTTTATGTGGCAACAACTAAGGGACTTAACTCTATATGGATGTTGGTTGATGCTAATCTTCTTGGGTATTTCCCTACCTGCCAACTCAAATGAGTTAGGTTAGAGTATTAACCTAAGAAATGGGTCATTTTTAAAATGGCCAAGTTATATTTTGATGGAATTAATGGAGGGAGCATTTCAGAAAAAGAAGAAAAAATGTTAAGAAAAAATAATGAAGACTGGATGTAATGGTCTATTAAATATTTCTATTCCACTGTGTAAATGGAAAAGTTTATTGTCATTTAGAAATATACAAAGAATAACATTTCCATAGCATCTCCTCTCATTTTGGTATGCATGTTGTTGATGCTAATCTTCTTTGGTATTTCCCGACCTGTCAACTCAAAATGATATCGCTCCATACTGTGATCCCTAACTAACCAAATTAGAAATATGCCTGCAATGTTTGACCTTGGGAATCGGATGAGATAATGAAGAGAGCGGCCATGAAACCTCATGATCAGTCTCTATATCGAAATCAGTTCAATCTATGTTTCCTACAGTAACAGTAATATTTTACTGGTGTCTCTAGTGAGGATGTGTATTGCCAGAACTACAGGAGACAATTAAAGAATCATATACCATTACCACTAAACACACAGCCTATCAGCTATGGGATATACAAGATACTTATGAACCTACTTAAAGGATGTGACTGACTGATAACTAGTATACGCAAGAAGTCTGGGATTAACCATTTCACCCTTTGCAACATTAGTAGATCTAGACTCTCCCATGCATTGATCTGGATGAGTCCATTATGGTCTACAGTGGTGAAAGGGCTAACATGTGAAATCAAGAAAATGACATTCATACTGGTAATAATAGGAGTTGTCTCCCCTCCAATACACCATCTTTGAACACTTTCAAAATGTTACCAGCAAATTGCCAATGGTCCAAAACATTATGATCCTTCCCGTTCCGCCGCTGCCATGTTGCCATTAGCACAACATAATGAGAAACATTATCAACCATGCTGTCGTACATTTACGACAAACGTCTAATCTTATACCCCATTTTACAAGGCTCATCATGCCAATATGAGGTCTTACTTTATTGAAAAGTACACAGGATTTTGACGATGATATCTACCTCATCCAGTCTTAAGCCACAAGGTTGGTGACACATAAGGCAAAACTAACAAGTGGATCGAACACTTGATTAAATGAAGATATAAAATGATACTAGGTGTTAAAATGGAAGTAAAGAGGAACAATATGTAACCGTACTATGTGGAGTCCCAATGGATCACTGGTTTTCTTTTCTATTCTTGTATCAATAATTTCCCCTCAAGTCGATCTTGATCACATGACCCGAGGGTCATGGTAAAGGTGGATTTGAGGTGGTATATTTCTGTTCAATGATGTCCTGTTCTGTAATGTCAAATGTGGAGAAAAGGCAACAGGGTCAGATGGCATAAGAAATTTTATTCTAAACTAGAATTATGTCAGTGTGACATTACAGCCGCTCACCACCTTAAATTGAATTGCTTCAGTAACACATTGAGCATCAACATCTACTATAATACCTCAGATATGTGTTCTGTATTCTGCTAATTGAAAATCAGGTCATGTGATGATGTTGCCTTTGGGATTTTCAAAATCAATCGCCTCTTAAGGTGGCTCCGCTCCACACTTTCGAAATTAACCAGCAAAATTCGTTGAAACTTTCATATAATGGTTATGCAACTATGTAGAGTTGATTTTATGAAAATCTAAACATTCCGATAGTTTGAGGACTTTTTTGGAAAAAATACCAAAAAAAATGAATTTTTGTCAATTTTAATATTTTCCGGGTTTTTGGGTGTGTGGCATTGTTCGGAACAATAACAACAATAATAAAATGAAAAGAAGCATTTCTAATTAACCCTACAAATATTTTATTTATCGCAAAATATGTAACACATGTTACACAGTGTTTTTTACTGAATTTGTACGGATAAAAGTGATTATCTACAAGCTAAAAGCAAACAGGACACAAAGATCTCTACATATAGAATGGGAAATTGAACAAAATATACACAATGTCTTTATAATTAATGTATTTTACATTTTACAATCACTGATCCGGGTGAGAGTTATCTTCCTTGAAAAAAATCATTCCACAATCCGCTAACTCACGGTAGAATTATAATTACATGTCAGGTACATATATCGCATGGTATGCTGTTCTCACGTGCACTCACACATGCATTTCATAGGTATCTTGATATTTTACAAAACATTATTTTCACAGAGTAAGTAGACTACATTTGTAAACACGATTTAATCGACAGAGCGAAACTCTCTCAACAGCGAAAATCGTAACGACCTCGAGCTTATGAACTCGTGTAAACACGTGAGGTTGGTACGTCCGCATTCCATGTGTTTCCTATATGACCTTCGTGAGGTCGTCTGGTCTCATGTCACTGTCTTCCCGTGAGTCTGTTTACATGTATGTCTACGAATTGGAAAGCTTTATTCCTGAAGGACGTCTGATTATACATTTCCCGGTAAAATCTCGATATTGGGTGTTGACATATCATCAAGCACATGTACTATTGTTTACCAGGGGCCTGTTCGTTTATTCGGAACAACCGTTTGGCGGTTTATAAAATGTAACAATTTCGGGTATAAATCCTGGCGGACCTGCAAATGTGTAAGCAGGCCTTGCAAGGCTTTCTCAAGGCTCGCCTGAAAGCAGCATCAGATTACTAGGTCCGACCTTATTTAATAAACGAACAACAGTGGTCCGATTGGTTTGACCGCTTAAACGAAAACGGCCCAGGTGTTACTATAATTTGCACTACGATATTGAATGCCCGATACGCAATACCGACACGGTGTACATGCACATTTCGATCAAGATAATTGGGTCCGAGCTGTAATTTTTCCGTAAGTACATCACGAAAATGGACGCTGATGACGATGTGTGGAGCCACCTTAAATGATGTCTTAAAAATATTTCTCCCTCTCCTCTTTTTTCACCCTCTTTAAGTGTGATGCATTGTTGTAATTTTCATTAATTAGCATCCTCCAATAATGTGACATGAGCATTTACGTGCAGAATGCTATCCGAAAACCAACAATAAATTTTGTTTGTTTGTTTGATTTTGTTTAACGTCCTATTAACAGCTAAGGTCATTTAAGGACGGCCTCCCTTGTGTGCAAGATGCATGTGTGTGTATTATGGGAGGCTGCGATATGTTCGTATTTGTCTCCTTGTGATAGCGCGGAACTGATGCCGACTTTATAGTGCTACATCACTGAAACATACTGTCGAAGACACCCAGCAGGACGCCCCGCCCGATCACAATA